GGTTGTTCCTATACGAAGGCCTGGTTCCATCAATCTAAACCAGGGACCTAGAGCTATGTCTTATAGTCCCACGGAAAATGCTGTATTGATCTGCTCTGATTTGGATGGTGGATCTTATGAGTTATATATTGGCACTAAGGAGATGGCTGGAAGGGGTGATTATATTCAGGAAGCAAAGAAGGGAGCTGGTGGATCAGCTGTTTTTATAGCCCGTAATAGGTTTGCCGTTCTAGACAGAAGTAGCAATCAAGTAGTAGTGAAGAACCTTAAAAATGAGATTGTAAAGAAATGTCTTCTTCCAATTGTGACTGATGCGATATTTTATGCTGGAACTGGTAATGTATTGTGCAGAGCTGAGGATAGGGTGGTCATCTTTGATCTTCAGCAGAGGATTGTCCTCGGTGAACTTCAAACCCAATCTGTTAAGTACGTTGTTTGGTCTAGTGATATGGAGTCTGTAGCTTTGCTTAGTAAACTTGCTATAGTCATTGCTAATAAGAAACTTGTGCATCGTTTCACACTGCATGAGACAATTCGTGTAAAAAGTGGTGCCTGGGATGATAATGGTGTCTTCATTTATACGACAGTAAATCATATCAAGTATTGTCTTCCTAATGGGGATAGTGGAATTATAAGAACTCTGGATGTTCCTGTTTACATAACCAAGGTATCTGGAAGCAATATCTGTTGCTTGGATCGAGATGGGAAGAACCTGGCTATATCAATTGATGCTACAGAGTACATCTTCAAGCTTTCGCTTCTGAGAAAAAGATATGACCATGTGATGGGTGTGATCAGGAATTCACAGTTATGTGGGCAGGCTGTCATTGCGTACTTGCAACAGAAAGGCTTCCCTGAAGTTGCTCTCCATTTTGTCAAAGATGAGAAGACCCGATTTAGCCTGGCTCTGGATAGTGGTAATATCCAGATTGCTGTTGCTTCGGCAAAAGAGATCGATGATAAAGACCATTGGTACAGGTTGGGCATTGAGGCCCTTCGACAGGGAAATACTAGTATAGTGGAATATGCATATCAGAGAACAAAAAATTTTGAGAGATTGTCTTTTCTCTATCTTGTAACTGGGAATATGGAAAAGCTCTCCAAAATGCTGAGGATAGCTGAAATAAAAAATGACATCATGGGTCAGTTCCACAATGCACTGTATCTTGGCGACATTCAGGAACGAGTGAGAATATTGGAGAATGCTGGCCAGTTGCCTCTTGCGTATGTCACAGCTGTTGCTCATGGGCTTAAGGAAGTTGCTGATAGGCTTGCCACTGAATTGGGAGAAAACCTTCCTACATTGCCTGAGGGAAAAGTAGGTTCTCTTCTGATGCCTCCTGCACCACTCATGTGCAGTGGGGATTGGCCATTACTAAGGGTAATGAGAGGTATATTTGATAATGGGCTGGATATGGGGACGGTGGGACAGGAGGAAGAGGAGGATGTTACTGGTGCTGATTGGGGTGATGAAGAACTGGACATTGTTGACATGGAGAGAGAAATGCAAAATGGTGACATTACAGCAGATTTTGCAGATGCTGAAGCAAATGAAGAGAATGAAGAGGAAGGAGGGTGGGATCTTGAAGATCTGGAATTACCACCTGATGTAGACACACCAAAGACTGTAGGCAATGCTCAGTCTTCTTTGTTTGTCGCCCCCACACCTGGGATGCCCGTTAGTCAAATCTGGATTCAGAAATCATCTCTTGCTGGGGAGCATGTGGCAGGTGGAAACTTTGACACTGCTATGCGCTTACTCAGCAGGCAATTGGCTATAAAGAATTTTATGCCCTTGAAGCCACTGTTTATGGATATTTACATGGGCAGCCACACCTATGTGCATGCTCTTTCTACTGCACCAGTGATATCATTTGGTGTTGAAAAGGGGTGGAATGAGTCTGCTAGTCCTAATGTAAGGGGCCCACCAGCACTTGTATTCAAGTTTTTGCAGATGGATGAGAAACTCAAGGCAGCTTATCGGGCCACGACAGAAGGAAAGTTCCCGGAGGCTTTGCGTCAATTTATTAACATTTTGCACACTATCCCGCTTATTGTTGTTGACACAAGGAGGGAAGTTGATGAAGTGAGGGAGCTGATCGAGATAGCCAGGGAATATGTGCTAGGTCTGAAAATTGAGTTGAAAAGAAAGGAAATTAAGGACAATTTGGTTCGACAGCAAGAGTTGGCAGCCTATTTCACAAACTGTAAGCTTCAGAAGAGTCATACGAGGCTTGTCCTCACAAGTGCTATGACCATATGCTATAAGGGAGGAAACTTCTCTACATCTGCCAATTTTGCGAGAATGCTTCTTGAGAGCAGTCCAACAGATGCCCAAGCAAAGAAGGCTCGGCAGCTGCTGCAACATTGTGGTGACAAAAAAGATGTTAACCAGCTCAATTATGATTATAGGAATCCATTTGTGGTTTGTGGAGCAACTTTTGTTCCAGTCTATCGTGGCCAGAAGGATGTTTCTTGCCCATACTGTGGGGCTCGGTTTGTGCCTGCCATTAGAGAGCAACTTTGTGCTGTTTGTGAGCTTGCTGTGGTAGGGGCAGATGCATCTGGTTTACTCTGCTTTGCTACACAGATGAGATAATTGGCAGGAGGTACTTGTTTATCACTTTTGTCATTGTTTTTTCTTTCTTTTTTTTGCTTATATCTGTTATATTATCTCTTGCCTGGAACATCAATTTTGTGCAAAGTTATACAATAATAGTAAGGAAGTTACTTTTTAGCATATTGCCCAGTTCTGTGGAATTGTGGTTTTAAGATTTGGTCTTTTACAAGATTGCTAAGTTGTTGTTAGAACTACAATGTGGAAAGTAGAAAGCACTTTGTTGTGGCAATGCAGCAGGGATTTCATGTATTTTACTAAAAGCAGGACAACAGTTGTTCGTTAAGACTTTTTAAGTGGTTCAAAACCTTATTGTTGCTTGCAGCTATTGTCTGTATCTCTTTGCAATGATGTCTTGTTATCAAATGATCTACTGACTCATGAGTTTGCTTATCGGTAGAATTTACGATATGACATCCATTTGGATGATAATGTTGGTCTGTTTGCATCTGAAATTTTCTGAAGACTCGGGGCTAAGGTTCCAATTTAAGTTTTCACCTTTGGTCAATTTTATGATGGATGGATAAGAAAGCGAGAGTGGGCACGATCATAATGTTAATAATATTTAAGAATTTACCATGGATGTACTTTGGTTTTTTTTTTTTTGGGCCTTGAAGCAAAATTCAGTACTGGAACACCGATTCCATTGAATTTTTTTAAAAAATGATGAAGATTATGTCATTACATTTTGAAGATTTGATTTAACAATTTTAGAAGAGATATCTCTGTTGCACAGATGCTAAGCAGTTTGACTGATGGATTGTTGGATTAAACTTCTCAACGTTGCTAGTTATCTTGGAAGGTGAAAGTTTGAAAAGGTGAAGCTCTGTGAAAGAAGAAAATGAATTCACCAGATAGGTTGATCCTGATTAGTGTAGAATGCTCCATGGCTTCAAAAGATTGTCTACAAGGCAGCATTGAGTAAAGGTAATAGACTTTAGAAGCATTGGAGTCATGAAATCGACAGGTGACAATAACTGCCTGGCATGCACGGCCTTGCCATTATGAATGCCACAGAAATTTATTCTTGGTTATGTTATTGCTTTGGTATTATATATTTTTTATTTAATAAAAATAAGCTGCACATCACTGGTCATGGAAACTGACCGTCAGGCAAGTTTTGTCCATTTGTTCACTTTCAGGAGGTAGTTTTGCACAGTGTCATAGCCGGAGCTGCAGCTGTAAATGTCAAGTATTCCTCCTTGAGCGTCATATCCAGAAACTTTCACCAATTTTTTTCTTTCAGAGAATTTCGTAGCTCTTTGTAATGTTTGCTTTTGTGTTTTCATCGAATGCTTCAGAAACGTTGCTAAAAGTACAGAGGGTAGTACAAGATTCATGTGTGGCCTACATATGTATTATAGGAAATTTTATCGATTATTATTTGAGTGTTCAGTTATTGCTTTGACTCTTATGGGAACGACGTGTGAATTCGAACATTGCCATTTTGCAATACTACAAGTCCACCTTTTGCAATTTTTTTTTAATTTTCGATATGATACTTTCGTCACAGAGATCGTTCACAAAGGTGCTAAATAGACCTTCTACATTAAGTTGTTTTGTGATGACTTGACGAGAGAGCACATAAAATTGGTGCTTTGTGGAGTCAGTTTATTTTACGTACTCCAAGTTCTTGAGCAATTTCTCACGTATGATTATGCCTGTATTAAAATTCTGGATTTCTAAATACATGTGTATGCTATATATTAAAACTGGTGATGACAAATAAGATGCTTCTTAGAAAAAAGAAAATGGTACAAGATTTATATCACTATTCCCTAACGTGAATTGGATGTTAATTTTGAGATCATGATCCGTAACCCGATCCCACTAGATTCAATCTCTCACCACACCCCGAGTTAATATTTTCTATGCTTATGTGTAAGCTTTTTCGGACATCCAACCCCCAGATTATATTTGGAAATCAATTGATTAACTGTTCTTTTCCGACCCATTTATGACTACCGACTCAGCCGAGGGAGTGGGAGCAGAGAGCGCCCCTTTTGCCCATCCAAGCCTCTCCCTCCGACACGTGACGCTGCAACCTCCATTCGCCCCCACGAAACTGTCGTCCTGCTCCCCGCCCCCGCGACGCGCTCTCGCACGTGCCATGGCTTCCTCATCGAGGGTGATACCGTAAATCTGGACAGGTACGATGACCGTTTCCGGAGCCTCGCCTCTGCCCATGCCCCTTGCTAGGATCCCCTCCAACCACTCATACACCCACATCGAATCCGGATATCGTTTTGTCAAGGTTTATGGTGGGACCCCCATGAATCAGCGGTCAGGATGAGAGTGGGAGTTTGTGGTCGAAGAAACTGCTGGTGGGGATCTTCGCCCAAACGTTTCTTCGTCATAAAGGCCCTCTCCATATGGAATCCATGGTGTGTGAGCGCAAGACCGAGCTCCGAGAAGGAAGAGGAAAGAGCAGAGGAGAAGAACGCGAAAAGAGGGTTTTTGGTCCTTCTTCACGTCCGCCTGCCACTTCGCCTTCGCGACCTCCTCTCTGCCACCGGAGCATTCATGGAGGGCGCATAATCATGCCGGAAGGCCTCGAGCTAGGGTTTTCTGGGCGGAAGAGGGACCTCCGGTGATCTTGAAGCGCGGATGAGTGCCCGCGGATCTGCATCTCGTGTTGGGGCTGGACGCTGAAGAGGCAAGATTTTGTCTCCGAATGGAGGGTGGTGGAAGCTTAGGCGCTCTTTCTTTGGTACGTCCTCCCTTTTTCTCTCCGCCGACAACCGCTGTTGTCTCTGCGCTTTGCTACTGCTTTGGTTTGCTTATGGTTCGTTGCCTTTGCCGTGAAAGGAGGTTAAGATTTTGGTTTTCGTCGGCATTGGCATGATGAATAGTTAAAGTCATTGATGTGCTCGATTTGATTTGTATGGGGCGTTTGTTCTTTCTTGAATGTTGGAACTGTTGTTCCGAAATTTGGACATTGGCCTCATTTAATGAGCGTTCTTGATTTGTTTGCAAAAGTTGTCTTTTTACGCGGTTGATGATTAAATGGGTCACATTACCGATTTTGACGGCCCACACTTGCCTTTCACGTCGGTAAAATTGATTATTTATAAAACAATTATCTCTTGCTTGAAAGTTAGACTTCGTAGTGAATCATGGAAATTAGTCTTGTACAGTTCTGTGCTGGTGTAGGTTCATGTCGAACTATATCTAGAAGTAGCTTCTGTCATGTTGTCATATTCGCTGTTAAGAGACTTGTAGGGTTCATTGTGATTCAATAATTGATATGGTTATGGTTGGCCTTTTAGGGTCCACGTTGCTCCTTAAGTAATCATGCCGTGATGATTTTTCACGATTCTAGAATTCAAAACCTTATGCAACTTGAAACCTATTTGTATGTGCAGAATCTGACAACCTTTTTTTTTTTTTGTCAAGAAGAAGAAATTTGCCTATCTACAGTAAAATTTGACTTTTTTTAAAAATTGATTCATTATTCTTTAAAGAGTTGAAAGTTTCATCCAAGGTTTAAGAATGGTTTAGGTTGCTTACATACATGCAATTTCCGACTAACACTTATGCTTTCTCTCTCCTTTGTTGTTATCACATCTATTGTTACAGTAGCTACTATTCTTAATACATATAAACTGGACATTAAAATGTTCATTGTCACGACCTAACCTAACGGATACTAGGTCGACTCTAATACCAATTGTTATGATTTAGCCGATTAATTCCACTGAGCTTGTACTACTATCCCAAGAAATTTAAGTCAAACTTAATAATAGTACACCAAGACCCTTATCTTATTTCAAATCGCTGTTCACTTCCGATGTGGGACTAAAGGATATTACAATATTATTATTATGTCAGTAGACCATGAAATGTTGTTTTTATGTTGCTGATAGATACTGTGTTTAGATGACTATCCCTAAAATAGACAAAATGCCATCTCAAGTTGGATATGTTTGACACATAGACCTTTGGATAAGGTTGATTTGATATGCAATTTTGTGCAAGATCCTTAAAAATCCTTTAGAACACACCTCACATTTTGTATTAGAAAATAACGCATCAAAATTGACATGTGTATCCATCATAGTGCATGTGCATATGCAGTTATGAAGATTGATAAGCTGCAAGTGTCAGCTATCGTTTTGACTGTAGTTCAAATCATGTGTGTCTGATGTTGTTATGAAGATACTGACAGAAAATAAACTTTCTGCGATTTCATTGCTAGCATGAGTCAGAGAATAACTGTATACTATGTGGTATGAGATTGGTTATGCTGTGTGTGACCGTAAATCATTAACACTGAGGACTGAGATCAAGGCATTTTACTTTTTCAAATCAAAATTAATCATCCATCTATCTTTTCTGGAGATTCCATTTATATTTTTGCAGTGAGAGATGATCTTTCTCATCAGCTAGATCGTTGATTGGGATTAGGGCATCGTCATTCAATCATAAATCTTTCTGATCATCTTCTGTTTTAATGTTAGCTTCCATTACTTTTTCTCGGCTGTAGGTGATGTTGAAATACATAAGATTTTGTCGTGTCTAGCCTATTATATCTGTAAAAAAAAAAGAAAACTCAAAACTAACAAAATGTTATGAATATTAAAATAAATAAAAAGCCATCTGATTCATATGCTTATTGTGTTGAAACTGAGAATGAGATCTTTGGTTGATTGATGATGAATGCCAAATTTCCAATTGCGTGATGCCTCGTGATTGTGTTATAGCCTCTGAATTGTGGCTAAAATAGAAATTCTGATGTCAAAATATGTTGCAGGACTCTTAGATGAAAGAAAATATATTTTTTGTTCATATTTGGTGATGGTAGAAGAGAACAGAGGAAAGTAGAGATTATAGTATCGAAACTCACTTTGGTTGCATCTCATCCACAAATGTCGAATGCCATCATCAAGGGAAAGAATGATTTTACATTACTTTTATAAAATAAAAAAAAGTTATAGTTTTGTTCATTTACCATGTTCTTTATTACAAAACATTTGTGATTTATACTCTCAAGTACAAAAGAAAAGGAAAACCCAAAAATAGGAAATGTGTGCTATGGAATATCATATTTCGTGATCCAGTACCAGTCCATCACATATCTGTTTTTGGAGAATCTTCATTTCTATTTTCCCTTTTGAGAAATAAACTTCTTATTAGCAAGATCTTTGATTGGGGTTATTTTCCTTCTACGTAGTGGATCTTTAGCAAAACATATCTTCTTAAACATCTTTTGTTTTAGCTTCCTTGTTCTTCCAGTATAATCTCAGTGGGCGATGTGGAAATTTATAAGATATCGCTATCTGACAATTTATTACAGACATAAAAAAACAAAATAACAAGTTTGTTTAAATATATAGTAGAATTAAATGTCTCCTGCATTGCAAATGATTCTTGAATTCAGTTTGAACGATTCATGGATCTTTCATATTTGGTTCTGGTTCTGTATGCCTCTGGACATGCATCTTGTGTCTTGGATATTTTTGTTTTTGTTACTTGGCTTCTCTGATCTTTTTATTTCCAATTCTGTTTAGTTTTCCTTTTCTTTTTTTTTCTTGGATAATGTACAAATGAAGCACATTGTTGTATCTACAGTTTTGCATTTGGTTTTATCCATTAGTTTATTTAACCACTGATTGTAGTTACTAAGTTTGCCACCTTGGAATTTCTCCTAACACAAGAGCATGGCATTGGTTCTTCTTAATTTTAATAGTCTAGATAGTTTCAGGGGTATATCCATGGATTGTGATGATGATGATTTTCAAAGTCAGAATTTTCAACTAATTGGAGAGGACAATGATGTTTTTCCTCAAAGCATACAGCCATATGCTCCGCCAAAATTTGATATAGATGATCATTTTCAGGCTCACCTAAGGCTTGATAGTTTAGCCGAAACAGGGCTTTTGCTTGGCATTCAAAGTGAAGAGAACAATTGGATTGAAGAGTTTTCACCAAGAAACAATGTTATAGAATTTGACCCAAGTGCCTCTCAAACTTGCTCCATTTCTGGGCATGACAGTATCTGGTTCAATGCTCCATTATCTGAATCTGCACAGATGTTAGTGAAATCTGTTGGAGATGACACGACAGTAAGCCCACAAGTTATGAATACAGAGGCAGATACGCATGCAGTAGAAGATTCTGCCAAATGCGGGCCAGAGTGTATCACAGACATTGATTCAAGCTTTTTGACCAATAAATTCCAAAGGAGTGTTTTGGTGTCAAATGAACACATAATTGAGGCTGAGCAACATGTAATTACTCCTCAAACCCCCAGTGAGGAAAAATCAGAAGTGGGCTTCGATGAGATTTTGTTAGATAAAAAAATTGACTCTGCTGGGAAGGTGGTTGCTACACAATGCACCACTAGTGAGGAATTAACTTCATCATCTGGTAATGTATCTAAAGCATGTTTAGTTGCTGGTGAGCCTCTTGAGGTGGTTCAGAATGAGGAACCATTGGATAATGCATCCACCAGGAATAGTTCACTTGATGATCGTGGATGTGCTGTAAACCAGGAGATTGAAGTAAGTTCAAAATTTCTTTCTTGCAATACTCATCATGGTCCTTCTGGTTTGTCTACTAATAATGCTGATATTGTCACTGGGAAGCTGGATGATCCATTATTCTCTGAGAAAAATGTGGAAGAATGCTATGAGGGTGACATTAGTGAGAGATCAGAATCTTTGCAATCTGAAACGAAGCAGAATGAAACAAATTATAATTTATATGGTGATTGCAAAGTGACTGATCAACATTTTCAAGGCCATCCACTTAATTATCATGTTTGTGATGTGAAAGCTTCTTCTGAATCGGTTTCACCTACAGATTCTCTAATGCTTCCAAATGAAGGATCCAGTAAAACTGTGTTCTTTAAGAACTCTGATGCACTGCTCGAAGATATTGCTCACCAGGTAAAAGTTTCAAACAAAGACTTAAGTACAGGGGATAAAAGTTCAACCTGCACAAAGGAGGCACATTCCTCATCTGTGGAAGGAGATGGAACTGAAAATGTTGGTGAGCTATGTGATGTTGCGGAAGGGCGTACGGATTTTAGCCATTGTGTACATGAATATATATCAAAAGATGATAGTCGCAACCCAGATTCTCAATCAACTGAAGAAAGTAAAATGATTAGTTTTGAAGAAGGAAATCTTGGTACATCCAGGACAGTTATTGATGACAACTGTAGTGAACTGAGAAATTATTCAGGCATGGCAGTTAAGGTAGAGTTTTCAAGTCTGATGAAAACTGAAACAAGGATGACCGGAGTTGATGGTGATAATGAATGCAGAGTTGATCCTTCAAATTTGAATGACACTGACTCTGTTCAAACAGAAAATAGCACTGAAGGTGAATGCTTAAAAACTATTTCTGAAGAACCCACTGGTAAGTCGGATGCTTCAGAAAATGCTATTCACAAAGAATCTTGTGCTGCTTTATCAGATGATGCAGAAAATGAGCTCTGTTGTCGGAATCCTAACAAGTTGGCTCCAGCATCTGACACAAGTCCTTCAGTTGCTGAACTGAACAAGGACAATGTAGTTCATTCAGCGGAAAAGGAGAACACAGTACTATTGATTGATACGAGTGGCACAGCTTTTAAGGAATGCTCTACTATAATTAAGAATGCAGAATTTTGCTCATTTGACATCCAAAGAAATGGTACAGTGATGGAATCAGACAAGAATTCCATCATGGACCAAGCAGGAGGTAATCGGGGAATTTCCATGTACATCTTTGTTATATATTTTGCTTGTAGTCTTATATTTTTAGTTAGAATTTATAAAATAGTGCAGCTCATCTGCCTTTGCCTTCTTGTAGTTAGTGATCTTACCTCAGGAGGTATGAAGTTGCTGTCCCCTGTTGATTCAACAATTCTCCAGCAGTCACATTCTGAAGTTGAAGCGATGGTAGAACAGATGGAAACGACAGTGTCATCTACAGTTGCTTCATGTTGCAATGAGAAGGGTGTCTGCCTCTCTTCCTTGTCAGTTATAGGTTGTAACACAGATACCCAGATATCGAGACAACCAATAGCAGTGCCTGGTTCAGATACCAATGATCCCTCAGTAAAGAATTTTTCAGATGGCTTGGGTAATTTGACTGCTGATATACAATGAAAATTTTGTGTGTTACAGATAATGCAACTTTGTTCTTCAGTTTAAATTACAATGAAAATGAGCTTTCAATTCAATTATTTCTCTCAAAATTTAAATTATCAGCCTAGCTTCTGGTATTCACCTTGTTTGGCTTCTCTGAACAAATCATCATGTTTTTGTTTTGAAAAAAAATTGAGTGTTGAAGTTAGCTGCAACCTTATTTTTTTGGCTACAAAATTCAGTTTTGAGGACAAGGAAGCATAAATTGCTGCAAGCTCATGCTTCTAGTTATCATTGCCAGAGTTGAAAAACAACACCATGTCACCAAGCATATCAGGTGAAGCAGGTTATATCCAATTCCTGACAGTCAATGATCTTTACATGATTAAATTATGACCACTTAATTTCCTTGGAAATCCTGTCACTACTTTCTATCAAATGCCAAAATAACTTTTTTCTAGATCAACCTTTGACACATAACATTTTAAAGGGAGCCTTCATTCCCAAGGTTCTGTTGTACATAAAAATTATTATGTGACATATCAAAGATAATTTCAGTTTAATGGGGTGACGACCTGATTATTTCTTTGGCAATGCCATTTGATAAAGCTAAAATTGTTTCCTTTCCAAGCATAATGTTTCCTGGTGAATATTTTTCATCATTTGATGCAAGAAATCTTCAATGTGAATATAAATTACAAAATATACTGTTTCCTTTAAACAGGAATTACCAACAGTGATGAGCTTTGCGTCGCTTCGTCAGCTGGGATGTCTTCTCTTGTCGCTCAGCAAAGCACAGAAGGGAAAGATGCTAACTTAACAACAACAAACAATTGTGACAAACTGAGATCCACTGAAACTGAAGGTGTGTCATCTTTGATGTTTTGTAAGTGATTAATTTTTCTTTTTATTTTAATTTACTGCATGTCGAATTCCTTCAATTATCTTTTTTTTATTATTTTGGGAAAACTGTAGTATAAGGATAATATAGGCAAAGTATAATTGGAAATCTTGTATTGGCTGGGACAGGAGTTGGAATATTTGGTTATTGCTGTTAGTTTTGCAAGTAAACCATGCAATTCTTCACAATTGCACATCCATATGAATATTCCTTTAGAAATAGCATGTGTGTGTGCAAGTATGGAGTGGCCATTAAATTTTTATGTGCAGAAAGTCATATGTATCATGTTTTATTTGTAATTTAGTTGCACAAAAGTTAATAACATCATCTCCATTAGGTTACCAGCATGTCCTCCAGTAACATGATCCTTTTCAGCAGGTTCTGTTTCATCTCAACATCTAATAGTGAAGATTATATCTGGTTTGGATTAGCTTAGCTGTGGCATATTTAAAATAGTGTTAGATGTTATCATGCTGTACCCTTTAAGTTAGTTGATGTCTCTGTTCTTTATGTTGATGTGCCACCTTCCAGTTAGTGTAATTCAATGGAGGCCAGTACCAATTAACCAGCTTATGTCATTACAGAAAACAACCTTCTTCGGTTCACTTTGTCTAAAAGTAATCCTGAGGCCCGCTTAGTGGATCATGATGGTGGCAATCTAAGTTCATCTGAACCAAATTGTGGTTCACCAACTGTCATTAGTTGCAATGAGCATACCCTAGAAGAAACAGGACTTATAGAAAGCAATAGATCATCACAAGATCCTGCAGGTCCTGCTTCAACAAAAGATTCTAGTAGGTCTAAATGCACCGTTCAAGATTCTCAAGTGAGTGAGACATTGAAAGATGATGGGAACTTTACATTTGTAGTTCAGCCAGATGCAAATCTTTCCCAAAAGGACAGCACCAAGGATCTGACACCCTTCTCGAATATACAGTCCTTCAAACTGCCTCAGGTAATTACTTCAATTACTGTTCTCAGTATTGCTTATTATATTTTAGTTTCATTATTTTCCTGAGATACGTAAAACCTTTAATTAGATGTCTGAGGAGATTTCTCAGGGATGTCCTGGTCAATCTATAAAAGAGAGTACTAGCACTATTAGCAAGATGACTTTAGAAGGCAAAAGAAAGCAAGTTTCTGCTTTTGCAACTAGAAAGATAGGCATTTCAAAAGGTGATGCTAAAGAAAAGTCAGAAGAAAAACAAGGTAAAGGAAGGAAAAAGGCCCCATGCGATACCTCATCTGTCCCTGATAGATCCACAAGAAGCAAAACCCATATGGAGGATATACAGCATCGTCTCTTTGTTGAGACCAATACTACAAAATCGTCCTGTTCTCCAAGTGTTCAAGCATCCAATCTACCAGATTTAAACACATCAGTACCCTCTGCTCTGTTTCTCCAGCCTTTCACAGATTTGCAACAAGTACAGTTGCGTGCTCAGATTTTTGTGTATGGATCACTCATGTAAGTTGCAGTTGCCTTCTCTTTGTTTGATTATTGTAGTATTGTGTTATCCGGTAAAATATGTATTAATCAACTTGGTGCAGCCAAGGTGTCCTGCCCGATCAGGCTTGTATGGTACCAGCCTTTGGGGGAACTGGTTAGTTGTTTCTATATAATTTATAAATGTTTTATGCGGTTCTGCCTGATCTAGACTGTTTTGACCATTTTTAAGTAGATGGAGGAAGGAGCTTATGGGAGCAAGTGTGGCATTCTGCTGCACAAAGGCTTTATAACCATAAATCTCCCAATAGTTCTGGCACACATTTGCATTGTCATTCAGGTGAATGGTTTTTTATTTAGCATTTCATTAATGTTATGTAGTTATCCAAGACAACTGATACTTGTTCATGTTTATTTACAGAACAAGGGATCAGCTGCACCCCATTTCAGAGCAAGGTTCTGAATTCCCCTGCTAGCTGGAGGGACAGCAAGGTCCCAAATTCATCAACACAAAGTTCCAATGTGTCTTTGCAGTCAGCTTTCCACTCTCATGCAGGAGGCACCCACTTGGACTCCAGTCAATCTCTATCACCATTGCATCCCTATCAAACTTCTCAGATCAGGCAATATTTGACCAACTCCACACCTTGGTTATCTCAGAGCTCTCACCCGGCTTCATGGTTTTTTTCACCACAAAGTTTACCTATTGATTCTAGTTCATATAACTCTCCAATACCTGTTGCTGAAACAGTTCAAGTAACAACTGTTAGAGACTCTTCTATACCTCATACCTCAAACATGCAACTCACTTCCTCTGGTTCCTTACTGCCTAATCAGGGTGCCAACAGTGTTTCGGCAGCATTAATTGTGCCAAGTGAGACAGAAAGTAGAGAAGCAACTCCTGCAATTACTAAGAATTCATCCGTTAGTGAAAAGTCCAGGAAGAGGAAGAAGGTTTCTGCATCGGAGGGGCCTGTGCCAAAAATTTCTGTTTCTCAACCCCAAGGAGTATCTGCTTCTTCTCCTTTTATTAATCTGCCTAATTCTGCAGAACTTTCTTTATATTCTAATTCTTCAAGTACTGTTACATCTGCTGGTCATGTTTCAGCTGCCTCTTACCCCATTACTATGCCTTACTACCAAATATTAGGCAGTAGTCATACTCAACAGAGGGGCATCGTCATCAAAGAGGCTTGCAATCAAATTGAGCAGTCGAAGCTGCAAGCTGAAAATGCTTCTGCTTATGCTGCTTCTGCTGTCAGGCACAGCCAAGTTATTTGGGAACAGATGGCTATTCAAAGAAAATCATGCCTTGCATTAGAAGTCGAACAGAAACTTGCATCTGCAGCTGTTGCAGCGGCGGCAGCTGCTTCTGTTGCAAAGGCAGCTGCTGAAGTTGCTAAGGTTGCATCTGAGGCTGCAGTACAGGCTAAATTGATGGCAGATGAGACTTTAAATTCTCTTAATACAGGAACCACTCAAATTTCTGAAATCTGCCTTGACATCAGGAAGAATCTGTTGACATCAACTCCTGTTCTAATCCCTAAGAGCCAGGATAAGATCCATGGTTCTTGTTCAATCATTTCTACTGCACGGGAGGCCACCAGAAAGAGGGCTGAAGCAGCTTCTGCTACTATAAAGCGAGCAGAGAACTTGGATGCCATACTGAAATGTGCAGAAATGGCTGCAGAAGCTGTATCACAAGCTGGAACAGTCATTACAATGGGGGATCCCTTTCCATCCTCAATATGTGATTTAGTAGAAGCAGGTCCTGAAGGTCATTGGAAACCTTGTTGTGCAACTATAAAAAAGAGAATTGAAACAAATGATGTACAGGTTGGAGAAAATCTCCCTTTGGATGTGGCTGGTGATCTTGAGATAATTACAGTACAATCAACTGACCATCACGGGAGGCAGAAAATTTCTGTTATGGAGGAAATGACTCCCAATAATAAGAAAATGATTTTAGAGAATAATTATGAAGGTATGTGCAGCTTCAATTTTTTTGCAAGTTATGATTGTTTTGAATATGGTTTACGTATCGATCTATTTCATCAGTATATTGTGTTATCTTACCTGTCAGGATGTAATCTAGAAAATGGATCACAAACTATTCCGACTTTTAGAGCTGCAAGCGAACCTATGCAAGGAAGTAACATTCAGAAAGGTTCACTTGTTGAGGTATAAGTCTAAGCAAGGAGTTATTCTTCCAAGATATGAATATTTTAAGCTGTAGTTTTTTGTATATCAAGTAAGAACTTGATATTTTTTGTAGTTGGTTTGAATATTTTGAATTTGTAATTTTCTATATTGAGTAAGAATATTCATTGTAGTTTTTCTTTGTAATTTCTAGTTTTTTAATATTGAACTGATACTGGATTTGCTATCTGGTTTAACACCTATGTGGCCAGGTAGTTTCATGGTAAGGATTAAGGACCTATGATAAGTTCACAATAGGTAAGGAATCAGAAGATTACAAAACCTCAAGAGAAAAAAAGTTTTAACTAGGAATATTTCCCTTATGTATTGGAGGCTTAGGTACAGCTTGAAAAATTGTGCAATAAAAAGTCATCCTCAGCTATTGATGACAAGAAACTCCATTCATGATGAAAAAGATATAGTTTGCAAGAATACTCGAGCTTAGACTTGGTTGCTAGTTTGATAGGCACTAAGGGGGTGTTAATCAAATATGCTTACATTTCTATATTCAAATTCAGTCATATAAAGTGTGATTTCTTTGTATGTTGCTTCTGTTCCTGGTAACATCCCCAGGGTGCCACATAAGGCCTATGTGGCACAATTGGATAAACCTGTTTTTGTATTTTAATTTAAATACCTGTCTTCGAAACTTGTCAGGAAATTAATTATGTTTTTTGTATTTTACTCTGATATTACCTGCTTTATGATGAAGTTTACTTTTTTAAATCAATTACTGTACTCAAGGTTTCTGATTATTTTGATTGTCTCCTTTAAGATTCATTTCAGATTTTCTAACAATGAAATCTTGCAGGTTGTAGCTGATGAAGATGGTCTTAGAGGAGCTTGGTTTTCTGCACAGGTTCTTGATGTCAAAGATGGTAAAGCATATGTGTGCTACAAAGATCTTCTTTCTGATGAAGGTAAAATATTGCTGTTCCTGGAATTGAATATTGATTTTCATAGTGTCTAAACAGACTTGTTATGGCATTTAAGCTAATTATATTCTAGTTTTGGTTGATACAAGTTGGTTACCTCTTGTACCTAATAAGCCGTGTTATTGTACCATGTTGTTAATTTTATTAAAATTTGGCCATCTTAAGTAATGGATGGAGATCTAATTTGAAAGTGATAAAGCTCATAGAATATGTAATGCTATTCTGAGCTTGTAATGTGAAATGTTTCACATTATGCAGGCCATGAGAAGCTTAAGGAGTGGATACCACTTGAATCCAAAAGTGATCAACGACCTAGAATACGTGTAGCACATCCTGTAATTGTGACTAAATCTGAAGGAACAAGGAAGCGACAGAGAGAGGTTGCAGGCAATTGCACTTGGGCAGTTGGAGACAGGGTAGATGCATTGTTACGTGATGGGTAAGCCTTCTTTATGTACTCATTAGCATTATTTTTTAAAATGATTTATTTGTTAAATTAGGGTTGCTTAGAAAAATATCTATTATCTATACCTCAATTTTTAAATACCTAGCAATACTTCGCTCAATTGGATGCTATTAGCATCATATATAGTATGCTTTGGCTAGTTATTGTTTGTTGTGAAACTTTATCAACTATAGTGATCGATACTGATAATTCTTAGTTTAGGAATGCAAATGGTTAATTCTTGAGTTCTTAGTTTCATAATTATAATTGGCTTACTACTGGGCATATAAGGAGTTAAGTGTAGTATGCTAGACTAGTGATTTAAAAAGCACTAGACATCAAAACACGCTAATGCCTCAAAATGCTTGAGGCGCCAGCTGCTCGCCCGAGCGAAGAGAGATGCTCTGAAATATTAAAATATAAAAAAATATATAATACAATTGATAATATGATTATATAAATGAAACACAACATTAAATTAAAAAGATGTAAAATACCAAGTCACATTATCCATCTTCTTTTAACAAAAATGTCAAAAGACGAAACAATGAAGATTTACATCAAATTCAATCATCATCTTAATCAACAGAATCATTCTCAATCATATTATCATCTTTCTCTTCCTCTCGTTCGTCTTTATCAAAATAAGTTTCCTCCTCTTTGACAACGGCAGGAGATGAACTTGAGGCTTTTGCACTCATTTTTGCCTTTATCATCTGTCTTGTATATGTCTGTAATTTTTCAACACCTGAGACTCTTGCCACATCTCCCCATATCAAGTTATCATCTTCAAATACAAGCTCATCTTCAGCATCTTGTAAGTTTGCACCCATTTCCCCCACCAACTATTCATTTGAATCATCAACGTTTTGTAATGAGATTAGATCAATGCTATTTTGCAAATCATGACGAGCCTTTAATGCTTGATTATACTTTATATAAACCAGATCATATAATAGTTGATGTTCTAATCGATTTCTCCTCTTTATGTGAATTTATCATATCATATAATTTAAAAATATATTAATATATCTATTAAAAAAGAAAGATTAGTTGAAACAAAAATATTTTGTGATCGTTACATGCTCAAAGACACTCTAGTCTCGCTTACAACTTACAACGCTACAAATCAAACTAAGAATTTTGATAGTCAATTGTTTGGATTTTTCAAATAGATACCACTATTTAGCTATAATTTTTAGTTTATTATTAACAATAACATACTATACATGAAATTAATTATATAAATTTATAAATACATGGGGATGTAGTTGTCCTAGATCGAATTATCATTAAAATTCCAAAAAGACCATCGATATTCTTAGATAAAGATAATTCATATATGATTTTATCTTGCACCTCAAGGTTTGGAACCAATCTTGCAATTCATTTATATAACATATTTACAACTTCTACATCAAACTCAATGGAGATGTTCTTATAAAAGAATTCTGGATTCAAATAATATCTCATTCCATGTAATAGATGATGAAGTTGATAATTCTATCTTTCGTCAATGATTGTAAATATTTTCTTATACTTTCTTCATTTTCATCAAAAGACTTTTGAATCGTCTCATTTGCTCTATCCATAGCCTCATAAATATATTCTATTAGCAGACTTCTTTATATTATTTTTCAATCGAAAGACTCAAACAAGAGGGCCTATTACCTTTAATGTATAAACTATAAGATTCCGAAAGGATGACATTAAGATGATATCACCGACACTCTTACCTTTCGCTTCTTCTATCCATTTGCTTGTCAGTTATTTCTCCGAGATAGCATGTTTGTTAGATTATATTTTTGACGATGCATGCTCTGTAATGTTAAGAAGGAAGTAGCAAATCGGGTGACACTATAACTCACCAATTCCTTGTTGTTTGTGAATTCTCTCATCATATTCAAAGCCCCAATATGATTATAGATAAATCTAATGACAAAGATTATCCTTTCTAAAGTTTTTTTGATGTTAGGAATCTTTCCAAAATCCTCCAATATTAAATCAATGCAATATGCCACACATGAAGTCCGATATAAGTGTCTTTTTGGTTCAAATAATTTACTTACGATAAAAGATAATAAAGTTGATAAGATTTAGGAGCCACATAGTTCTTCCATTCAAATTGGAGGCATAGAGTAATTAAAAGATTAAAAAATTCAAAAGATAAATCTTACTAGCTAACACATAGTTGCTTTCATTGTCGGTTATAATTTGAACGACATTTTGTTCACTAAATTCTTTCACAAAATAGTTAAACAACTTATATATATTTTCTCCTGATTTCATCAAAAAATAATGTATCTTTCTTGAATTTTTTGATGAATCTTCTAAATTGCTTTGTACATTTGCCATTAATCCTCAAACCCTAATAACAATTCTAAATAGAGATTAGTAGTGCTAAAATATAAATAGGGACTATTATATTGATAACAATAGTTAACAATCTACTGTTAACAGTATTTAATCTACTTTTAACAATATTTAATCTACCATTAACAATAGTTAGAGGGGAGAAAAAAGTCACCGACGGTAGAAAGTGGGGAAGGAGAGGGTGACGATGACGGAGGAACTTTTGGACGACGACAGCGGTTGCGGAGGAAGCTGCGAACGACAACAGTAGCGATGGAGAAAGCTTCGGACGACGACAGCGGAAGTTGCGGATGGCAATGTTGTGGGCGGAGGATGCTTCATATTTGTCCATCGGTGGCGACCCTCTCTCTCGACAGTGGAAAGAGCTGCACACAAAAGCAGTGGCAGTCCTGTGCGTTGGCGGTAGAAGTAGCAACTACGCTAGGGTTTAAGACTCGGGGTTGCATGAGGGGGTGGGGGGTGGGTTTTGCAACTATAGTAATACTATGTAGTTTTGTTGATTCAATCGACCAACTAGCTACTGTTCAACCGAAACGAACTTAATAGTCTGGTTCGGTTGCAAGGTTTCAACCAAGCGTTCACCCAAGGCGCTCGACACCTAGGTTCAAGCAAGCGCCCAGACGGTGCTTCACTAAAGTGTGTCACCTGGCCAATATATGAGGTGCTCGGGTCTCGTCTCACCTCACTTGAGCACCTAGGCGAGCACCTGGGTGCCTATTTAAACCCTTGTGCTAGACTAGGAATTACTTTAAGTAGAGGCATATGGTCAACTATTAGTGGCTTATAAAGTACAAGACTTGAGTGTATTAGTGCCTACAGAGTATGTTCATGATGAATAGTGGATGAAGGGTGCTATGAACCTATTGTGGGTCAAGTCATATTTATCATCAAAAGAAGCAATTTACTATAGCTAAAGATCCAAACATTGGAGAAAGGGGAGAGGGGGACTATGGCCTTCCATTTGTCTAAAAAGTCTCAAGGAAACTAGTGGGATTGATTGCCTACACCAAAGCATCAGTGTTAAGGAAGTTTTCATTCGGATAGGTAAAGGACTTGGACTCAAAATGCTTATGTTGGCCTGTTTCATAATGGTTGCCATAGCTTTGATGACCACTATATTCTGAAAATCTTATATACTAATTCTGTAGCTATAACATTGTGCCTGCTATTTAGCATGTAATATTATATCCATGGTAGCCATCTAAAGTTTTTCTTACCTTTTCATCTGGACTATCCCCTTGTTTTCTTCTACTTCAGTTTGAGGGTGAACAGAATTATGTTGGTTTCTGCATTATTCCTTACCGTCCTCGCTGAAAATTGTTTCAAGTATATGGTTTACAAACTCTAGGTTAATATCTTTTATTTAAATTAAAAAAAGCTTTTTTCCATATTTGGATTGGCAAGTTTCTACAATTAATTTGCATCCTTTGACTTCTATATGCTGTCTGTTGGCATGTAAGAATTCATTAGTTAAAGGACTTCGGTGCAATAGTAAGGCTGCTTCGTTGCATCTTGGTACGTACATATTACATTCAGCCTCATGTACCAGGGTGCTTCCTCGTTATGTGGATGAAAATTTTGTTTGGTTCTGTCATAGGGTTTACCTTTTCTCAGTGCATACTCTTCCATATCTAAGGTTATTATGACTAATATATTTCTCCAACTATGACTTACTTTTCTTTTGTGCTTGAGTCTATTTTAGGTTTACCTTTACTCCTTGCTGAATTTTGCTCATAAATGTGAGATTATTATGACCAGTATAATTTTGTAATTGTTACTTGAACTTGAGTCATAATCCTACTTATACTTTGTCATAACGGATTATTTAACATCCATAAGCCAATTGCATGCTTCTTATGTCCTCAGTTGGTGGGAAGGGATTGTCACTGAGAAGAGTCAAGATGATGAAAGCAAGTTAACTGTCCATTTTCCAGGTATGCTTTTGTAATATCTTTCAGTTATTGGTTTGTTTTCCTTCCCTTTCTGTGGGGTTCTTCATTATTGTTTTTTTCTCCTTTGGTGTTTTTTCGGGGTTCAGTTGCTTATTGAGGTTTTGCATGAGCATGTGCCTTATGCCATGCACTTATATGGTCAGAGGACATTTCTGTTCCTTCTTAGTTTTAAGGGGTATAGGTTGCTTTGTTGGTTTGCTACGTCTTTATCAGCATATGCAACTGTCTTGTTTCATACATATTATTATCATTTTTTTTGGCAACACAGTAGATAGAGTTCAGTAGGTGTCCATGCTAGCAATTCCACTCTGTCTATTGGGCAGGAATTGAATCCTTGGACTAAAGTTTATATTAAAATGAACTATAAATAAGCAAACTTAAATAATACAAAATAAGAAAATTTAAAAAAGAAATTTAAAAAAAAAGTGCTCATGCGGTCTTCCAAGTCAAAGAACTATGTGTACTGGTGATTTTGTTGATCGTGCTGCAAATGTTGATCAATGTGAATATATTTGTAAAACACTAGTTTCAACTTTTTTCTTCTTCAATCTCTTATTCCACCTGCATACCATTTCTAGCTTTAGTAGCCACAATCGGTCAAGATTTGTTAAAGATTGACTGATCCAAGCCATTTTATTGTCAGCCGACTGAAGAACAAGATAACTAAACCCTGAGCCTTTTGGGTCTGGGATTGATAGAACTTAAGGGGGATTGACTTGTTTACAGAATTGTGTCACTAACTATAATATCAAGTGTTTTTTTAATCTCAAACTTAGCTTTATTAGGACAAGGCAGAATTACATATTCCCAAGACATTAGGCTGAATCAAGTCAAGCAGCTGATTGCCTGGGAAGCAGAGCAATGATCAGGGTTACTATAAATTGATCATGATGCTTTGTAACTGTGATATGTTTGCCCTCTGGTTCAGGAGGTTCATTATATGAGGCCAAACAAAATTGATCTACTCCAAGGATACTTTTTTATTTATTCACATTGATTGATATATATATATATATATATATATATCATGATTAACTGAAGATAGAAACTCTTTTTTGTAAATTACAAGACTTGATTAGAATCTTTGGCCAGATTTCCAAGATAAACACATGGAGTATACTGTATATAGAGGATTTGTATATTATGTGGACCAGTGCATTGGTCATTCTGCCATCAGACTTGGACTTAAATTTTGATATTGCTTATGTTAAAAACCTGCCATAGGAGTCTATTTGTATGTTCTGTGCTTGCACTTGTATGTTTTTCTTTCCCTCATGTTCGGTAAGCTGTTGGGCATGAATTCAACACGCATCAGCATATTTGTTTATCAAAATAGTATCTAAATATAAAATTTCTTGTTATAAATATATTCTTTATCCAGAAGGTTTATGTTAATTATTATCATTCATTGGAATCAAGAAGTTACAGTTTATTATCATCATTGTATATTATGTTAAATGTATCTTTTATTTAATCACTGTTTTTACCAAAATTTAGCTCTAATATAAAAGAATATATCAGCACACTTACTATTTATTTTTTTCTTCTTTTCTATGAATTGATTATTTAAATATTGCTATCACTCTTTACAGCTGGTGGTGATTCGTCAATTGTTAGATCTTGGAATCTACGACCATCACTTATCTGGAAGGATGGCCAATGGATAGAATGGTCCCAAGCTAAAGAAAGAGTTACTTTTCAACCCTACGAAGTGTTTTAATCCTTCTTAGCATAGCCCTCGTTCATTTTTTACCTTTTATACTGTTAAGCATTCTTATTCCTTTTGGCTCATCTTGTCTGATATGATGGCATATTTTAATACAACTTTGATCTTTTGTGCTATGATGGCAATTAGGGTGATACACCATATGGGAAACATGCAAAACTAGGCCATTTCAATTCCACAAACAAGTCAGAAACAGGTGAGGAAGGAATGACAACTTTGTCAAGTAACATTCGCACAGATGATTCGAGGAAGCTGGAAGAGTTAAGGCCACTTAATTTGTCAGCAAAAGATTTAACATTTTCTGTTGGAAGCAATGTGGGTGAGGATAATAACACTGATGTGTTTAAGGTAAGACGAGCTGGCCTTCAGAAAGATGGTTCTAAGGTGGTATTTGGTGTTCCTAAGCCTGGGAAGAAAAGAAAATTTATGGAAGTAAGCAAACACTACAACACAGATAAGATTGAAAAGACAATTGAAGTGAGTGATTCTATAAAATTTGCAAAATATTTGATGCCACAAGCATCCCACTCTTGGAGAAATACCTCAAAAGTTGATGTTAAAGGAAGAGGGATCACTAACTTGAACAGAAGGGGCCCAAAGTCCTTGAGGTCTCAGAATGTTCAGTCTAGGAGTGCCATGGATAAGTCTGTCACCGCTGTAGCAATCTTAAATGGGGGCGAAAGCAGTCTTGGAACTTCTTTTAGCAACGAAGAGATAAAGAACTCAGTGGAAACTGGTTCTTTTTCACATGCTCTTAAAAAGGTAGAATTGGCAGTGATAGAGCCTCCTTTGCAATTTGTACCTGGTGTCCTGTCACTCGAGAAGAAATCTTCAGCTGAGGCTGAGATGGGGGAGAAAGAAAAGGAAAATGATTTACCTTCCGTTGATAAGTTGTCCAGATCTGATATTAAGGGTTCTGAAATTCCTGGAAAAGGATCTGCTGATGTTGTTGAACCCCGGAGATCCAATCGTAGAATTCAGCCAACTTCAAGAGTAAGCATTGTTAAGGTTTTTTCCTGTATTGGGCTTGTAAGATTTATTTTTATTGCTTTCTTTAATCAATATTTATTAGGTTTCATGTTTTACTTTGCTCAGTCATCAGTGCGAATTTTGATATCTGGAGCACCTGAATGTCTTTGGGTGCTTTTATTAAATTCTATTGTTTTCTGAGCCTGTGGTGCTTTTATTAAATTTTATTGTTTTGAGAACCTTGCTTCTGAAGTTCGAACTCACAGCATTGGCATCCTTGAGAGTCAACTTGATGATAATTTGATGGCATCATAAAATTGGTAATATGGACTTTAATTGAAGTGCCATTGATCTCACACCTTTTTTTTTTTTTATAGAGCTGCACAATCTTTAGCAGGGAATGTGCTTTAGACATATTATGTCAGATTCTCTTAGTCTAAGCACCACGAGGTGTTGAACCACTGTCCGATCCCATGACTAGGCACATCCTGGCATTTATACATGTCATCCACCGACACATTGTTTTCCTTGCTTATCGATTAACAAAGAGAATTAATTTTATGTATCTGTTTTCCATCAGTGCTCATTTCTTGTTCATCCTATACGTTGTCCTATGCTCTTCTTTTCTATTGTTGATTTGCTGTAATTATGCTTCACAGATATTATCAGAGACATTCATTTTATAATTATAGGTTTGCAAAACTGCAATCTTAATAAACATGTTTGGTTCAAGCACTGCAGTGAATCCACAAGAGCACAAGGTCAATGAGATAAGCTCTGATATGTCATTCCATGTCACCAGCCATAGTGAGTCATTGAACAGCAGATGTACATAGTTTACATCATGAGCAACATGTTCGGACCATCATTTATATAACAAAACATATGCAAGTTTTATGCCTTTTATAGTTGATGTGTCATCCCCCACGGTTCTTGCAATCTTTTGCATCCTTGCCATAATTAGAAGGCTTTTGCTGACAACTATTAGTTCAGGTCTGATGGACAGTATGCAATGCGTTATTGTTTTTTTTTCTCTTTATTTTTTCCATGAAAATAAATCGAAAGCAGCATGCTTCTAGCATTGATAATCTGGTGTGCACCCATAGTTGGAAAGTAACTACTATACATGGTAAGTTGAGATTCGCTCATGAACAATTTTTGAAAGGTATTGATTTGAAGTTAAATCTTTTTGTTATCTACAGTTACTGGAAGGATTGCAAAGCTCTCTGATTGTATCAAAGAGTCCACTTGATAGAGGTGGCAAGTCTTTACATAGAGGTGTATCAGCTTCAAGAGGTAGGCCCTTAAGAATGAAAAGAATGTGTTTTCCTTCTTTATCCTGGATTGAGAAATCTCTTTATTTACATTCTGTGTTTTCCTTCTTTATCCTGCACTGACAAATCTCTTAATTTACATTCTGTAGCAGGGCAGAATCATGGATGATTGGAGGGCATCATCACAATGTAATTCGATTTGCATTCCCCTCCAGCATAACTGAGAAGTCTCTGTTAGGGTCATGATGTACATAAATGCAATCCAAGGATTAGAGTGCAGAAGGTTTGTTCTCAGATGGTAGATGGTGTAAGAACACTTTGTTATCAGATGATTAGGTGTAAGATGTTATAGATTCAAATCTAAGTTTGTGTTTCTCTATCTTAAGCCTTAAATGCATCCTTCTTGACTTGTTACTACTTGTCAGTATCCCAAAATCTCTCATTTTTATTAGCAGCTTTCTTTATGATTTTGTACGCTAGTGGATCCAAGGGAAGCAGTAGACAAACATACGTGAAGAACCCATAGACACATGTAAAGCACACCAACTTACAATCTTATGATTATGATATATATATATATATATATATATATATATCATATTGTGCTCCGATTTAAACATATATGAAGCCGAACCAAACGTTACATCCTCGTCTCCTGCTTTCACTGCACGATGGTCGAAGGGGCAACGCGTGTTGTCGACTCCTTTGCTCTTTCTTGGGTGGTTTAACTTGGAATGTTCCTGGCTTGAAGCTGGAGCAGTCGGGAGTCCGTTCCATTCGCCCATTTATACATACAAATGGCGTGCTTGTGGCCTGCGACATCGGGGGTTGAGGTGCCTTCCTTGGGATCATGTCTTCCCTTTCCTTGTTCCAGAGAATCGTCGTCAGATGTGGCCTGACGAGCTGCCGTTCCATGAAGAAACAGCCTGTTAAGATAATGGTCACCGGTGCTGCAGGCAATTTTGAACTCTGTGCCTCTTCCATCATTCTTCTTCTTCTTCTTCTTGTCATGCTTGGCACTTGCTTTTTCGTTTGGGTTTTTCCTTTATGTAGTTATGAGGCTTTTGTTGATGGTCATCTGATCATGTGTTGCATCAGCAGAGTAACCAAGAAATATCTGAAGGCATAAATAATTGTGCTGCTGAATTAACCTAAGAGATTGATTGTGTTATTGTTTCCGAAGAAATTTCTGACATTGACCATTAATTATTTAGATATGTCTGATTAGGTTTACTTGATCGAATTGGTTGTCCCAGAAATTATTGTTCGTTTCTGGAGGAAGACACTGCGATCTTTTCAGCCCAAAAATTGTTCGAGAGACAATAGAGCTGTTGACTTGTGTCTGCTTTTGTAGGACAAATAGGCTATGCTCTTGTGCCGATGATTGCTCGAGGTGTAATGCTGGGCTCTGATCAACCAGTGATCCTGCACTTGCTTGATATTCCACCTGCTGCAGAGGCCTTGAACGGTGTTAAAATGGAGTTAATTGATGCTGCGTTTCCTCTTCTCAAAGGTACGCAGTATCCTTCATCTGAAGTGAATCTTCAAGTAAACAATGCCTCTTAGCCAAATTTGTGTTGGTTCAACCAACAGGCGTTGTTGCTACAACTAATGTGGAGGAAGCTTGCGGTGGTGTCAACATAGCTATCATGGTTGGTGGGTTTCGTAGGAAGGAGGGAACGGAGAGGAAAGACGTTATGTCAAAGAATGTCTCCATCTACAAAGCTCAAGCGTCAGCTCTGGAACAGTATGCAGCTGCAAATTGCAAGGTATTCTCGTCTCCTAATCTACTGTGTAGTAATTCCTAGTACAACCTAATATGTGGATATCTTTCCTAATTCCTTTGAGGAGTCATCGAGTAGGTACAACTAAAAGGAAAATTCTCTTTGATGAATTGCTTTTTAGCTATCCTTCAGTTGTTGCTATTATCTGGTTTGATGAATTACATGATCTACTTCAAATAATGCTAAGCAAGTAGGGTAAATCTAGTGCACGAGGCTCCTGTCGAAACAGAGGATCAAAGTAGGCTGTTTCACCTCTATATTTAGAGAAATTATTTTCAAGATTCAAACTCTCATCTCTCGTAGGAATAGTCTTATTATTATCATACCAAGGCCCACCTTCAAAAAATAATTCTAAGTGAACAATTTCTTAGAAGTCAAAACATGCAATGCTAAACTTGGTATAGTTGATTGTAACCAAGGTTCGCTGTACCGTATCATACCGACGTTTCGACCCGAACTCGGTATGGTACGGTACCAGTGTATCGGGCGGTACATCAGGGTGTACGGTACACCCTGGTGTACCGAATATTTTTTTATTTTTTCATACTGTAGCAGTGCTACAGTAAAGTAATGTAGCACTGTAGCGGTACCGGGCGACGTACCACCTGGTATGCTTCGGTACGACAGACCTTGATTGTAACTACATATCAAGTACTTGCACTAGTAGAATCAGTCAAATGGAAACCAGACCTACCCTTCAATGTATCTGCTCTTCTCCACAAAGACCTACATAAGTCTTTTTGTAGAATCATGAAATCTTAATAGATTTATTTTTAGAAAAAAGAAAATGAGGACAAGACCATATGCATGACAATCTATGATCCATAAGCATGTTAGAGAAGGAGTGTTCTGAGATCTGACTCACCCACAGGCTGATGCTGATCTGGTTTGTGTTCATCTCAGGTTCTTGTTGTTGCCAACCCAGCTAACACCAATGCTCTGATCCTAAAAGAATTCGCTCCGTCCATTCCAGCAAAGAACATCACATGCCTCACAAGGCTTGATCATAACCGAGCTCTTGGTGGGATCGCACAGAGATTGAACATCCATGTCAGTGATGTGAAGAACGTCATCATCTGGGGAAACCATTCTTCTACTCAATATCCTGATGCCAGTCATGCTACTGTCATCACCCAGGCTGGCGAAAAATCTGTCAAAGAACTTATTGCTGATGATAAATGGTAACATATACATTTTTCCAGAGATAGGCTTGTAGATAAAATTACTCTCCTCACATTTCTTATAGAATTTATTGGAACTACTATTACCATTCAAATATCTTTAATTGTGTATGCAGATAGACTTTATTCGCTTGTTGTCTCTATGATGCGTCTAATGAGGTTTTGTCCTTTTGGAGTGAAACCCTGTCTTTGGAAGAGGAATCACCTTAGACCTCTTACTATCACTGGAAAATATATAAATACTATAGTATTGATTTCTCCATCGTCTTTTTTTTTTGTTTAATGGTATCATCTCTTCTTTTTTCGCATTCCATAACTTAATCTTAAGGTTTTGCATCTTGAACTCATGCTAGGTTGCACGATGAGTTCATCAGCTTTGTGCAGCAGCGGGGCGCAGCCATCATCAAAGCCCGTAAGCTGTCGAGTGCATTATCTGCTGCCAGTGCAGCTTGTGATCACATCCATGACTGGGTTCTTGGCACTCCCAAGGTTTGCTTCTGTGTGATAACGCTCTAAGGTGCTTCCCCGATGGAATGTGTTGACACTACTGCAACTCTGCGACAGGGCACCTGGACGTCGATGGGTGTCTACTCCGATGGATCGTATGGTGTTCCTCCCGGCCTCATCTACTCCTTCCCTGTCACCTGCAACAAAGGAGAATGGTCGATCGTGCAGGGTAAGGTTATGCACGAACTCATTTGAAGTATCGTTCTCATCTTTACTCCCCAAGGATAATTCTTCTCTCCCTTCATTATGGTCTCCTGGGAGCAGCTCAGTTTGTTCAGAAACTGCAGGCCTGCGCATCGATGAGCCTTCACGAGCTGGAATGGATGCGACAGCGAAGGAGCTCATTGAAGAGAAGACTTTGGCTTATTCTTTCCTTGACTGATCTCGTACGTTTGACTACTGACACTGCTGCAAGAACTCAATTCCAAAGTATGACCTCAATGTTATCGAATACATTTTCTCAAACAAATTGGTTTTATGAGTATAATAAATCTAATTCTTTGAATGATCTATCCATTATAATAAAAGCATCTCCTGTTGTCAGTATTGGTGTCGAGCTTTTATCGAATGATTCTGCATCACCCTGAGAGGCCCATAATACTTATTGGGCCATATAGGGCCGCTCCAAAGGCTCAACAAGTTTGCGGTCTTTCTTAGGTCACGTGGTCACGTGGGTACCACGTGACACGCGGCCGGAGAAGTTACACGGAGCGGCCTATATAACCGGTCCGTGGACATCGATCCCAAGAAGCGAAGCCAAGCGACGGTGAGGTTTCGCCGCGAGCGGTACGTGCCGGCCTCTTCTCCTCGACGACGCGACGACAAGGAGGACAAGGAGCGGAGGATCCTCTTCGTCGTCAGCCTCGATTGCGACCGCCAGGTCTCTGGATCTTTGCTCATCCTATTTCATGGTCGATCCATTTTTTGTGACTTTGGCGATCGCCTTTCCTCCATTGCAGCCACGCTAGGGTTGTTCTTCTTTCGCTGATGACCACCAGTTAGACTGGTCTGTGTGTTGGCTCTTTCAAGATTATCGTAGTAGTCATCGCTACACTTTCTTGCGTCGATCTTTGGTTTTCTGGTGGAAGAGAGGTTGTCGAGGGATCTCTAAGCATCGTTGTTTGGATGTCCTAAGGGGATTGGGCTTTTGTACCCAAAATGATGGGTTAGGAGCGAGGATAGAAAGGACGGAGTCGATTACATATCATATACACATGAATTTGGGGTTAAGTCTAAGATTATTTAGATGCTAGGCTAAGGATTGATAGTGCGTTGAGACCAATCTGGCTCTGTAGAGCTGACAAAGATTTGCTAGGAATCGACAGAGGTGACGGAAAACCATGGAAAGAGATCAAACAATCTTAGTCAACTACCGGGTAATGACTACATGGATGAAGATGGAATAAGCACAGAAAATGGAAATATAAAGGACTCTCAGAATGATTGATAAACTTAGGAAAGTAGCATTATTCATGCATCGCATATTTGAACTTCATTACTTCTAGTTGATACTTGATGAAAATCCAGTTATCATCACATATATTAGGCTTCTCTTTTCTAATTGAAGGCCCACATATTTTCTAGAGGGTTCCTTATCTATCGTAGAGTGATCAATTGATTGAATCACATGACATCCTTGTGGGGTTTGCCGAGACCATAAAATAGATAAATCTACCCTCAAGTAATGCTTTAGGCTAACAATGGTTCAATTGATTGTTTCTGTTTTATGAACGTGATAGCTCATATTATTCTTGTAAATTCCTGATGTGCTACCAAATCTAAATACATGAAAAAAATTTGGTTATGATTTTTCTTGTTTACTTGCCATGGTAATTTGAGGATTAGCAAGCTTTGATGGTGAAACCATCTTACAAGTTCAAATTGGAAGGGATATTTTGAGCTATGCTGCAGTTGCCCTTTTTTTTTTATGATTCATAGGCCAAGTCTTTCAAGGTCACAATGCATCTTGAATTTGTTTTCTTTTAACTATTCTGCTTGCATCGTCCAACTAGATCTTGGTGCTAATGCACTTATTTATCTAAAAGAATGTCAAAAGTTATGATAAGATGTCATAGTTGTAAGCAACATATGAGTTCCCAATCACTAGTCCACGTTCCTCATTGCAGTAGGATGCGCATCGCCAGCAGGGCTCCGCTTAATGGTCTAATAGATCAATTTGATTGCCAACAGAGACCGACGATGTCCTACAAACATCGGATGTTTACACTAATTGTTGAACAGTAGCAGAACCCCCAGTGGATAGTGGAAGGAGTTCCAAATAAAAACTTATAATTGAATTTGATCATGCTGTAACAGCTCTATCATTCGTAAATTTTCTTGTATATATTTCATAATATTTGTTTATTTTCTGGGAATGTGATAAAAAAATAATGTAGCATTACGTTGAACGGACTAATTGCATATTACTCATGTAATTAGATACCATTAATATTTCGATCCTTATATTTTAAAAAATTATATTATCATCCCTATAGTTACAAAAGTGAAACATCTATGTTCATTTATCTTAATGTTGTCGATTTTACCAACAAAAATATTAAAACAAAGAACAAAAAAAAAAATTTAACGTTTCAGTCGATGATGTCGGACAACAATAAGAGGTGAGGATCATTCTGTATCTGTGTTAGTGTCGACGTAGTTGCTGAGCGATGTTGCTCGGTGTCTACATCAATAATCCTTTCGTCGCTCAGTAATTGTGTCGATGCCGACGTAGATGCAGAGTGACATCGTTCAACAACTGCGTCGATGCTAACACAAATGTAAAGTGATCCTCGCCTCTCGTTGTCGTTCGTCATCACCCAAAAAAATGGTAAAATTATTCTTTTATCTTTTGTTTTTGTGTTTTCGTTAGTAAAATCAATAACGTTACAATAAATGAACTTAGAAGTCTCACTTTCGTAATTATAGGGATACCAATATAATTTTTTAAAGTGTAAATATTATAATAGTAAAGCTAATTAACTATAGAAGATCATTTTTAATTAGTATTTGCATTAAGCAAAGATCAGTATTACCAAGAGATTTGCTAAAGGATCGACTGCTCCTGCCATAGCCGTTCCTTTATGGAGCTGCTGCTGCCATCGCAACAGCTTTTGATCGATATACACCAACTTGCCTCGGTAATAACTAGCAAATTTTGACTTTGGTTTCTGTGCTTTGCTGTGACCATTGTAAGAAGGCTCTTCTTTTCTTGGTGTCTCCAGATTCTAGTGCCTAGCATTAAGGCTATACCATTACTCAAAGCTAATGTGTTTCTGTCGGATAAATTCCCTCAATTTTTTTCATTTCTAGTCAAGAAAAGTTTATGGGATTTCCATGGGCTAAAAGATTGGATCGTCTCATTTGAAGTCTCACTAAACATCACTAAAAGCTCAATATTTTGATCTCCCTAACACGAACAAGCAGAAGAGGTACTGATGGTGCTGATTATTTGACCACACACCAGTTTTTTTCCCAACCAATAACCCTGTGTTATTATTTCTTTGAAAATGACATATTCACTGATTGCTGATAGAACTGACTGACATTTTCTTTTCTATACACTAGATATCTTACTAGGTCTTTTGCCTAATTTTTGTTGGCTGCTGCTGGGGGATTGGAAAGATTGGGGCAGTTTCTTTGGAAAAGATCTTATTTTGGGTTTTTCTCAAGCAACGTCCCCCTTTAGGTAAAGGTTTTTTCTAAGTAGTGTCCCTAATTCATAAACTATCTGAAGTATCTCTCACCAAATATTTCCATCAAATTTTTTCATCAGTTTTTAATCAATTTTGAGCTATTACAGTGTTTCATTTGACTTATTTAGTGTGTTTTTCAATAATATTTACAGTATTTTTAATAAGATATTAAAAATTATTAAAAATAGTATAAGTGATAACATATTATATTTCTTTCATTATCATTACTGATATCATATTTTTACAATTAGACTTGTGATTGGTTTGATTGATATTAGGAGTCCATTTGGATCCTTTATAATATTTTTAAATAAATTTATAATATTTTTGTTGTGATGGTTAAAATATTATAATAAATTATTTTTTATTTTTATTTGGATGATGTTATTTTTAAACTATATAAATACGCTTTTGAATCCTAATATGTTATATCAAATTGTTTGTATATTATTTTGATTTTATTTAATTTATTTATAATGTTTTCAAATAAATTCTATAATATTTTTATGACAATAGCCAAAATATTATAACAGATTAAAAATATTATAATAGATCAAAATACTATAACAAACAAGAAAAGTTAGTCAATTTTTTGAATGACGGTTTGAATATTTTTTGAATTAAGAGTATTATTTGAGAAAAAACGAAAAGGAGATTCTATTTTAAAAACAATCCAAAATGATAATCTTTTCTAAATAAATCATTCGGAAAACACATGTTTTGTCTACTGCAAAAATGAAGACAGTTGAATAGATGCATCTTGCAGTTCCAGTAATGAAGCTGATGACCCCCAGGTTATATGTTCCTAGCCCAAACTACACCATCATTTTACTGCTTAGGTCAAACGACAGCAGAAATATAGTATTGTTTGGATTATGATACTGACCCAGACTGACAGTTCCATCTTCCTAAGCCATGTCTCTCACCATAATTTTATGTTCTTGAGAACCAAGTTGCTGTTGGTCAAACCAGAGTGTTAGAGAGATAAAAGTCTCTAGATAGATCATATGTATCTCCTCATGTATGTGTGACGAACGTACATGCTGTAGGTGCTCACAACTGGTTCGCACATGGCGGCGGACCGAAAGCAGTGTTCTGGAGATGGTCCGAAAACGCTTTCAGAGCAAGACATGACCATAGTCTGCAGTGCTACGGTTTGCTTCTGCAGCACATCTATCTACTGTCTAATGCCACTTTTACTACTGCTATTTTCCATCTTTGTACCGTAGCTTCGTTATCCAAATGTTGCAGGGTTTCAGAAAGGCGCTTCCGAGAAGTCACCGACTCGTGCTCGACGTGGTACATTTGCAGAGTTATGCTGTCTATACTACCCTCTACGTAAGCCATAATAGTAAGTTTTCATAGACTACATAAACCCTTGTTTAGAATTAACTACATTAATTTACCACAACAGGACTCCCTATTTTGGATTATTTACATCCCCACATACCCATCATCATTTTTTTTTCTAATAGAAAAATATCAGATACCCTATCCTCAACCAAAATTGGCAGCCTTCATTATGACCATATCATATCAATATTCAAGATTACACGTACATGGCCGTAAAATTAGGGCAGCAACTTGAAGAAAGTTAATGCTAACGTTTAGAAATACATAAGAAGTGGACAAAGAACTGTCAGCTTAGGCAAGTTTCCAAGCCCAGACATATAGAAACTAGCAAATGTTTTGCAAGATGTAGCATAATGAGCATTGACCTAAAGCGAATTAGCTCACAAAAAATAGTACATAAAAATTAATCAAATGGAAAATTGCTTTGAGGTACTTGAGGTTTAGGGTTGAAACTTCATACCACGTGTGTTCCTGCCAAGGATTTCCAGATCTCACTGCTCTCCTCGTCATCCTCTTTTGACTTGCTCCTCCTCCCTGAAACAATCTCGAAGGAGTCGGGCATCTGCATGAGGTCAAGCGTCACATGGCCTCCGGCTCCCTGCAAGCGACTCCAACCATCAGCATGCGGTGGCATCGGCTGTGGCGTTGCTTGGTGCTGTATATGTGACCAGAAGACGGGCGGCTGCTGCTGCTTTACAGAGACCATGGCGTGCCATCCACTTCCATCAGCGAGCAGCTGCCGGGCAAGCACGGCAGCGCGGTTCTCGGCAATCAGCTCGTTGAGTGCGGCGCTTGATCGGGATGAGAAGTCGGATGTTGCAATCCAAGGAGAAGCCTTGGATGACAGAAGAGAGAGAGCACAACCCGGGGAAGCAGACAGGTATGGGGCCATGCCTCCGATGATTGCGCTTTCTGCACACAGATATCTTTCCAAGTTCAAAAAATCTTGGCACAGCAGGATGTTAAGATTAGGTTAAAAACATTGCATGAGATTCCAGAGAAGATACTGCACGTTTGCACACGATAAAACTCAAATTTAGCTGGTTCCTCAAAGCTGAGTCACATAATCTTAGACTACATACTGCATGTTATAAGCAACTTCATCTGATCAAACTATAATTTGTCTTGCGCAACATCAATCACCTCTTTAAATTGCTTGACATTTACTGAAGGAGCATGGATGTTAAATCTTTACAGATTCCATAATATGAAATTATGTTTAGAATATCAATAACAATAGCTTTGTGTCAATAGTGTGCAACAATAAACTTTGCCCGTCTGAATGTTTTGCTGTTCATACAAATAACTGCTCCTAGTATATTTGTCCCTTTTGGAACTCAACCTCTTAGTCGCTATTTACATAAAATATGATGTTATAAATTAATTAGCTCATGGAATGTTTTGAGCTTTGGGTTCTCTTCTCTTGTTGTACCTACTGTCATTACATCTTCAGGGTGAATGATTCCAAAAGAAACTTATGTTTGACACAAGATCATCAATTTCTTTGGAGCTTGGAGACTTCTGCTACTGCTTTGGCATTCATGGACATATAACGAGTAACTATTCTCCTCCTTACACTAAGTAGATAAATTATGCCAAGTGAAACCCTAAATTCTTGTTCCTATATGTCTTAAATTCCATTTACCTCATGTTTTTAGTAGAATTCAAGTAGCATGCAAAAATTAACTTGAAAAACAAGAGGACTATTCATCTAGGCCTCATAACTAAGTGTACATATTCCTTTTGCCTAAACATAATTGGCTTTATTCTGGCCTTCAGCAATCGTAGCATTACACTCATATTTGTCTTACCATGAGAAACTGAGTCTCATGTTTTCACATGGGGAATATTGAGTTACAAGGTTATGATTACTAAAGCCATGAAACTTCAATCATATTACTATGGAAGAAGTTGAGATGTATACAACTAATGACTTCAACTAAAGGTTACAAGGGAAGGCTTTTTTTTGCAACAACGTGGTTCCATCAGATACTACTAGAAAAAACAGTATTCATTCGCAATGTTAGCAATAACGCTGAAACCTTGCAAGAACAAGTAATCGATTGTATAAATTGGATTAACAGATACTTAAGAGGTCAAAGGGAAAATAACATCGTACATCGAACTCGCATGCCTATGAAAGTTAGAATAGTAATTCTTTTTATTAAGAGAAATTCTTCGTACATATGTTCTACCATTTGGGTTCATTCACCCTAACTGTATTATCCAGCATTTTGTTTTACAAAAATCTCTCATAATTTCACTTTTGTGTTACTTATAATGTGAATTCTTCGTATCTATATTGCAAACAGGAAGAAAGAAGGTTCAAGAAATAACACAACAGTGGCTGTTCTCCCTCCTATGCACAGAAATATTCTACTGAACTGCACATCAAATTTCTCCTAAAGATGAATTCCTAGGAACTGAGTCAGCTACCACTTTTCTTCTCCTACTGTGTCAGACTATACACCTTCGATATCACTCTCGAAAGAAAACATAGTAGCTGCAATGAAGCCAGGATACCCTTTTTAAGATCTCAGAAAGCCTTCTCACAGAAGCCAGTTTGCATGACCATCCGGCATATCCGGGGAAAGCACGAGGGTGATTCATAGCGACACACCAATCGCGAAACTAGGCCATGCACTTTCACTAAAGTAGAAGATAATCTCTGAAACATGCAGGGTATCATCGGCGAGGAGCAAATTCACCGAAGGAGGTAGAGCTTTGCGATGATATGATTGCTGGACCAACCAAAATCAATAAAGATGGCTTACCTTGGCCAAAGACTTTGAAAGGTCAAATCCAGAGACTGACAGGCATGGCCCACCCCCACTGTGCCAGCAAATGCTACTGATTCGACAGTCACCTTTGTCTTCTTCCCCCCCCCCACCCCCATTTAGATACATGTTACGAACCCCAACCAAACCCTAACCCTAACCCTATCTCTACGCTAATCCTAAATCTAGCCCTAACCCTTACCTAAAGGATCTACTTTTTAAATATTGTCCACTCAACCCACTTTAGTCAAGATCGCTTTCACGGCTTTATGTTCCATCACCAGCTCCCGGTTCCCCGGTGTCAATCCTTCTCATAAATATATCCAACGTTCTCAAAAGAATAAGACCTTTCTCCCATGTGCACTGTACTACGTTATGGACACACCACTAATGGCAAATTTCAATTGAAATTGCAGGGGCTGACCTACATAAAATTCTAAACCATGCGATAAAAAGGAAAGAAACAATGGAGACGACGACCAGAGGAAGCTGGGATTGTTGTAGCCTGAAGTGGTTGTACCTACCTAAAGCAGGGTTTCTGGTGATGGGCTCGCTGCTGTTCTTCCTTCTGCGCTCGTTGTGCCCCGCCAGCCGCCTTCTGCAGCTCCTCTTGGAGTCGTCAAACTCGGATATCACATGAAACCTGCATCAAGTTTCCAACCGTTTTGAGTTCTTGTGGTGGTGAGTACAGTTTCTTCTCGCTAGTTTTGTGGCAGAACGACCTGCTGCACTGCTGACAGAAGCGCTGCTCGACGCCGAGCACCACCACCCTCGGAGCCTTGGAGTGCAGCTCGCACACCTTGTGCCGCTTGTGGTACTCCTTCTCGTCCACCAGCACCTTGCTGCACCCGTCCACCTGGCACCTCGGCGCCGCTGCGGGCCTCTCTCGCTTCATGGCGGCGACCCCGCTCTCTTCCCCGTAGTACTGCCTCTTCCCCAGCTTCAGGCACGCCAGGTGGGTGTGGGTGTGGTGGCGGTGGTCGTGGTACTGCGAGGCCCGGTGGTCCCCGCTGCTCTCTGCCACGATCTGATGGCCGGAGAAGGGCAAACAAGTGGCGGCAGCAGTGGAAGAAGAAGCGGCGGCCGTGGTATGAGTGGGGCGGGCTGCGACGTAAGAAGAGGACGAGGCGACGTGTGACGACGTCCAGTTCCCGAGCTCCCAGAAGTCCCACGAGGGAACTCCACTTCTCCCCGCTGCTCCCCCGTTCTCCATCACTCTTGCGGCTGCTGCTACTTTGGAGTCACAGGGTAAGAGTAAAGAGTACAGGTTTGACGCCCGGAGACAAATCTGGGGGCTTCTCTCCCACTTGCAAACTTCCCTTTCTCAACACCGATGCCGGTCTCCCTTCGACAGGAGGGACGCGCAGCTGACCACTCACTGCGACTGTTTCAGCATACCCAACCACTCAGGGTGTGTGTTATAATGGGCGGAGGGGAGGGATGAGGGGAGGGGGGTGGTGGTCACGTGACGGGGCACTGTAGGTGAGCCAGCGCAACGCACGTGTCTCGGTGGGCCCCGAACACGTGGGTGGAGGTGATTGATGGGTTCGCTTGCCGAGACAGGTCAGAGTCACACAGGTTCATTGAACGAGGAGTTCTGACAAAAGCAGCCCCGCGAGATGCATCCATCATGCTGTCATCCCTCCAGAGAGGAAGCTTTGGGACTACGATTCGGTCGCCCTCCCCATGTGGATGAACCGCCATAATCACGTCCTCCTCGTAGCTGTGGTGCCTCAACCATCTGCAATTACACGTATTCTCTACCTTTGGAATACGGCCCGGAGTTTGGTTCCTGCAGAAACACGAAGGATCAAATGCCTCCCCCCAAAAGAGAACTCGGTACTCTCGTTGTGGCGATACAATGGGATCCACGCTCAAGTACTACTAACATTCAACGTGAGGAGGTGAGGCTGATCTGTACGTACCACCAGAGAAGCAAAATCTTTTGGATAAGGCTACGGTGCTCCCCTCGTTGGTAATATTCCTTCTTGCATGCAATTAATTTAATCATCGGAATTCCTATGTCCATGTGCATAATATTCCTCAATGGCACAGTTATATGATTGTTATCGCAGCACATGGATTTGGTATATGATCCATCCCTTTTGCACCCAGAACTGACCTGACCTAACAAGTAATGCCCATGAAAACGATGGTACCTGACATCAGTTTCGCAGTCTCCCCGTCTCGCGACAAGGGGGGATTCCATGCGCCAGCAACTGGGGGCGATGGTCCTGATATCATGAACTCGATGCGCCTTCCTCTCGTTTGATCATGATTTGTTCTCTTTTAGAGGAAGAGGAAGAGTTAAGCTGGTCTGAACTGTGCAGTATATTTTCATGTGATTAAACTTTCAAAAAATTATCGGAAATGTTTGAATTTTGTTATGACGATGTTCGTGCCAAGTCCTTTTTTATTTTTTTTCTCATTCTGATGATATGTGTAGCTTAGATAAAGATCCTTACCGATCAAAATGAATTGAGGTTTTGCATTTAAACAGATTCGATCACTGGAAATCACAGCTTCTAAGATCATTGGAGCAATGAACTCCAACGGCCAACAGGCAGCAGCATCCTCCTTCGAGTAATATGCTTTCAAGAATCACAAAAGAAACAAGTTCTCTCTTATGAGAGTAATACCAACGTTCCTGAGAAACTCTCTCACCACGAGACTTAGTTTATCGCCTCTGGCCTCCAAAGAGAGATGATGGTGAAGGGAAGGCAGCAGCAGTTCACCCTAAAGCAGACATGTCACTTCAACCCAAAGCTTAAAGGTATAGTAGCAGTTCGAGGACCGGACAGTCTCTGATCCCTCGGTCTCCTCATGGTCATGTTTGCTCTGAAACATTAGCTGCGTTCATCCACGCAAACACAATAAAGCTGAGAGACCTCAAAACTGCTGATAGAAATAAAGCTTCGCAGGACTTAGGAACACATGGCGATCTGCGACTACTCCCTAAAACAGTGCTTGTAGGTTTCCCTGTTGCATTCCATCAACCTCAAACCACCGTCAAAACCTGGAGTTTTATGGCACAAAAGTAATCATGGTATGGAAACTTTACTGTGGTCCGAGTGAATACCTATCCTGATGCTGCTACCACTGCTGGGGACTGAAATGAGCATCTCACGTCCGACAGCTTTCCAGCTTCTTCCAGTCCATGGTTCTGCAACAGTGGGAAGACAATTACACAAGATCTGTCGTTGGGGACAATGCACAGGAGTGCTTGTTCTTACAGGGGTTGTTCCAAGCCACCCAGAAGCTTGACTTGGGATCCTTATAGCTGTCCTTGGAGGACCACTTGGTGGAGCATCCATCGATGAGCCCATCTTTAAGACAGGAACGTTCCTTTGCTTTTGTAAAGCACCCAGGCCGAACAAAAGGGCAAAGTTTACAGTAGTAATTCTCCGGTATCTATCCTTCTATAGTGGAAAGATTTCTTTGCCTTCCACCAAAGCTATGAAGGAAAGACCCAATGATAGACTGGGCTCGGTTAGAGTTACCCTGGCCAAGCCCATGCACATCCATGCTCTTGATAAGTCCGAGCTTAGTTAGCCTGAGACCAACAATTAATTAAGAGACCAACATAAATCAAATCGTCTTTATATGGATTATGAGACGTGACAATGGTGATGTATACATGTGCTTTTCTTGACCTCCAATTAGGTTAAATTACCTACTCTAGCCTTGCATCTTCAAGTCATTCGAACTTGTGCAACACTTTGATTAGGGAGATTCAAATTCCGATTAGTATCATGTCTGGCATACATCTAATGCTTTAACTTAGAGGAGTTTGTGTGGGTCATATGGATACCACCTCATATTATTATTACAACAAATCTTTCCACCCCACCATAGCAATCTCATTCCTCTCCCTCATTTCTTATCTTCGTCCCTGTCTTATTGTTTCAATCGTATCGCTTTCGCCTGCTATGGTCACCTTCTTCCCTCCCTCACTTTCGACATTTACCGTTTTGATGTTGTCAATGTCTACAATCTCATCTCCTCCTCTATTCATCATGTCCTTGAATAATCCCTGAATGATATTTTGATCATAACAATGTTCACTCGAAAGAAGAGATGCTGACAATAAAAAACAATAAAAAAGGTATTGCAACGACAAGAAAATGAATGAACAAATGGGAGGCATTATCATCGAGCTAAAATAATTTTTTCAAACAAATATATATATATATATATATATATATATATTTATATATTTATATATGTATATTCGTAATTGATAGTACCGCATGTGGGATCCATTTTGAAATCGACTTCATCCATGCTTCTCGTCCCAATCAATTTACTACTACTCGAGTTTTGTATGACCTTTGAGTCATGCACGGGTTTTTAGATGTCCCTTAAGGAGCAGACAGGAGGACACACTGCATGAAGTGTAACTGTGAGTTGAATTCTCCAGATGGTAAGAGTCATGGATGAACTGCTACGAACTACTTCATCCTATTTCGACATCCATTTCTTGGTTAGAGAGGATCGAAGACTAGCATCGTGTACAGAACTAGCTGTGCATGTGTTTGCTATATCTGAAGAGAGAGATCATATAGTAAGTATAGAAACTTATCCATCTCTGTGAGTCTTAGATAGCAAGTAGTATTAGTAGCTCAGCGCAAGACATCCTTGAGTAGCTTGTACCTGCGGGCCGTTGGCCTGGAAGCAGCAGCACCGCCGCTGCTCTTGCCACGGCCGCGACGACTCTCCTCTCGATCGCTTCTTTGCTCGGCCTTATTGCTGCTGGTTTCAGAAGTACATCCTCCGGTGACCTTCTTCCGATGGATGCCGCGACGTTTAGCTCCGTCTCGCTCTTCTCTTAAGCACCAGTCACAGACTCGAACAGTCTCCGATCCCTCCTCTTCGTAGTAGTTGGTACAGTAGCTGTATGAGTCACATGATACGAATTAGGAATCCAAACAGAGAGTTCGAGAGAGAGAGAGCATACGAGTGTTGGAAACGGGAGCGGCATCGGATGCACTGGAACAGCTCGTCGGCGAAGCCGATATCACCACACATGGAGCAGACTGTCATAGTGGTATCCATGGCTTACGGTGTTGTAGAGTTTGGTTTCACACACTTACACGAAGAAGAGGAGGAGGGAGAGAGAGAGAAGCCGGAGGAAACAAAAGGGAACGGAAGGAAAAGGAAACGAGGAGGAGACGGTGGTCGGAGGTCGACGAAGCTATAAAATTGCAACTCCGAGTCGTCGTCAGCTATGAGAGGACACACACGGCCGGAGCTGAAAAGCCTAAGATTGCGTTGGAACGACGACCATTAGCCTCTGGAAGAGTGCCAATCCGGTTTGGTACCTTCACATCGATCCTCAAAGAGCAGCTGCATGGGCCAAACACACACGTACGAGCAGATAGATTAGAAGAGAACAGTCATTACCTTTGCCTCCTTTGTGGCCAACTCCTCTCTCTCTCAACGTGCAGGAAAGGGGTTTGGTTCCGATCTTATCCGGTTAGTTCCATTCGGTTCATCGGTCAAGTCAAAGTCGAGAATCTTCGTCTGTCAATGGGTCGGGTCAAATTAAAATGAACTTTGTCTCAATTTCCAAACTTCATATTACCGTATAAAATGTCGAATCTGGTTTAAGCGGGTCGGATCAGGAAACTTGATCTGCAGGCGCCTCAACCCGATCCGCAGTTGCGTGCACTTCTCTTTACCGCCATTACACCCTAAACGCCCGTCTCCTCTCTCTCTCTCGGTCTCTCTCTCTTACGGGGCGAAACCCTAACCCCGATCGATCTTTTCCCTCGATTGCCTCATTATTTCTAATGGCGACGAGTTGCGTGAGATCCGTGAGTCGCCGGATTCCTCTCTCTTCCCTCGGACGAGTCGGCGTTAGATCCAGAGCTGCCGCGGCTCCGTCTTCTTGTTCCCTCCACGCCTTCGCCGCCGCTCCTTGTACGATTCGCCGGTTCTCGTCCCTCTCTAGGTGGGCTCTTCTATTGGTACCAGTGGTTTTTTTATCCGTCTCTTAGCTGATATTTCTTTCTCGTTTGGATGAAGGATTCCTGTCGAATTGGGGTGCTACGGGGGCTCTCTGCTCCCGTTACACAGCGCGGTGGCGGCGGCTAGGTTGACGTCGCGTCTGAGCACGACGTCCCGCGGAGGCCGCGTTCTCTCTCAGGGTACCCTCTGCCGCACCTATCCCGGACTCTAGTGCTGTTGTTGTTCCGTCAGTTTTTCGAGTTATCAGTGAGTAGCTTTGCTCCGATCGTTTAATTGGTTTCCGTCGAAGATTCTTGCCTTTGGTTGTGAATCATGTAGAATTTTTTTCCGTCGTACACTATGGTTTGATATGTTGGATTTGACTTGAACGTTTCTATGGATGGAATGTTACAAACTGAGATAGAATTGCCCTCTGTATTTATCGGTTAGATTTAAAACCTAAAGAAAGTTGTTGAGCTATTTGATCTTTTCTGATTTGGGATGGGAGTTGTTATGCGGATAAATATTCACGAGCTTATGAGCCTTTAGAACTTTTGATTATAGTTAAGTCTGAATGTTAGAAGTCGCTAACCTTATGAGTGAAATTTACGTTAAATAGATTTTATTTTAATTCTAGTTAAGACTTTTAAGTTTTATTAATCGTTAACCATATGAGTGAAATTTGCCTGAGGTAGATTTTGTTCCAGAATAAGAAAAAGAAATTTGAAGAAGCAGCCTCTTCCTTAATAATATATCGTTGAATTGTCACGGACTTAGCTGGTTTTACCTAAGTCGTGCAGTACCCTTATGTGTCCGTCCGCAACGGTCAGCCTTCCCGAAACCTCCTATGATCCCTTAGGACCTACAAAAGAGAAAACAAGTTAGAGAAAATGCCTCACTCGGGATCCACAAACAAACATTTCAGGAAACACTTCATAGACAATGCAAATTACAAACATACTTTACAAGCTCTGAACGGTTGCACAACAAAATGTCAAAATGATCCACTACAGACCGAATATCTCTCGTAAGTGTCCACATGACACAACATTTATTTACAAATCTAAAACGACCATCATACCTAACTAAAATGGGGTTGTTAAGTCTTCAACCGTCCCTCTACATGCTGTACAAAGCATGAACAAACCAAAAGACAAGGACATACATAAGTATTACATCAAACATCCTGTTTAGAATTTTGTCCAAAATGATATCACATGTGGTGTAAATGTTAACAAAAATGCAACCAATGCTATTATTGTGGTGCCAGACATATTTTACATCTGTTATTGTAGAGCGGAAGTTTGGTAAAAATATTTTTACCAATGGCTGTTTCATAGAGCAAAACTTTTGGAATGAGATATATAAGTTTGTTATCTATGTACAAATTTTAGTCCTACAGGAGTTGGAGAAGGGAAACTTCAGGTGTAGTGGTCTAAAATGTGTTGCATTTTCTTCGATCATTCTCTAATAGTTGTGGGCCTATTAGGCGAAGTTATGCTGTGGTTGAATGTTAAATTTTTGGCCAAGTCATAGGACAATTTACCTGTCTTTTGTCTCTGTGACTGTTAACAGCTTATGCATGGCTAACAAGATCAAAAAGTTCTGAAGCTTTAAAAGATTTATAAAGTGAAATATGTAACCTATAACAAGAGACGTATAAGGCTTTTAGTGTTTATTTTAGTTGGGTTTTTTTTAGTTCAGTTGTTACTAGCAATCAATTTTGCTAAAATTAGGGAAGTGGAGTTCTTTTCGTAGATGGCTGTTATTGGAGCTTATAGAGAATCCGTTGGCATCCCCTTATTAAGTGGTTTTTTATCAGTGATGCATAATCAACAACGTTTAGAGCCTTTCTCAATGTCTGATTATGTTCTTTCTTGAGTGTCACATTTAAGAATCCACAGGGGAGCAGTTTCAGTTCACTGTTTCCTGTCTCTTGCCAACATCATATTTCTTCAGTGTCACTATGCTCTTAATATATTCACTTTGTTTCTTTGTAATCGCAAAATAGATCTAAGATAGTGATAGCTTATCTACTCTGAATACATGTGGCCACTAGTATGTTTCATTAGTTGCATTTCGTTAGTAATTGATTAATTATTTCAATAAGATCCTCTGCTAATACAAGTTTAATGAGTAGAGACTTTTAATTATGATCACATAAAGTAAAATGATGTGCTTCGTGTTTTCATCAAGTTGATAATTGTGTCTTAAAATTCTCAAAGATTTATATTGTATACGGAGGACAGACCAAGGGAAAATTGTCATTGTTTTCAAAGATAATTCTGTTTTCATCAGCCATTATAGTAGCACACAGCCTCGAAAGGATGTTATGGCCTAAAATTTATCATTGTTATTTGTTCCTAGTGATGCTCGCCCGAAACACCATTGCTTCAGGGAAATAGAGAGCAGCTTTTATTGTAAGAAGAACTTGATGATTCTCTTGCATTCTGACATGCATCCTTATTTGAAATTTGTTTGGAAAAGAAAACTTGATACTTTAATTAAGGCACCAAAACGAAAGAAGGAAAGGGAATGGACCAATCAGATTTTCTACAATGACTGTGAAACAATTCGGACCACTCATTTAAAAGGACAGAGAAACTAAATGAAGAATGACCATTAAGATTTAGAAAAAGAAGGTTGGATCACAAGATCGAAATCATTAGAGAGATTGCATATGTTAAAATTTAGATGATTTTAAATCATGCAGTTTGTTGCTTATTCCTTGTGGTTTGAGTAATGATATCTGACTTCTATAATAATGAAGTTGAATCAGTTGTAAGGCAGACGAGAAGTTAGTGACTAATATGACTTGGTGTGGTGATGTGTGGTTGAAATTTAGCTACTTGTTGTTCTTAAGCCTTGGTACAAAAAGACTTACCTTCATGAATTGGATAGCTAGTTGAAAACGTGACTGTGGTTGATGTTTGGCAGCAGCTTAAGCTTGCTGGAGTTATTTAAAGAAAGTAATGTCATCATGTGCAATTTTGTATTATGGACTTATAGTGGCCCTTGTCACTTAGATGTTTATTATGACCATTACTCTTATCCTGGATAGCTGGGTTTTTTTAATTTTGAAATGGTTAGGCCCACTGGATATATGTGATGCTTATAAAAGCTTTAGTTTAAAACTGATGGTAGAATCAGGATCATTCCTGTGCGTATTCATGGTTTATATAAAAGATTTAATAAATACAGAATCTAGGACTATATGCAGCTTATCTACTTTCCACACCAGAAAGCTTTCTGAGAAAATTGACTACAACTGTGCCTGTGCCTGTGCCTTCAGCAATACTAAAACTGCATTTGAAACGATATGAGTGACTGCTTAAATTGACTATACCTTAAATGTATCAGTAAATATATTTTTGCCTAAGACAACAATAAGATAGCTAGACTCAGGTTTTCGTGCAATACATATATTGAAGAATGGCGTTGTATCTCCTCATCGTTTGGAAATGTTAATAAGTTTGTTTCGATTTCATCAACTAGGACAGTTTAGAGGATAATGAAATTGTCCTTTTTCCAGATCACAATGATGGTACGTGAAGCATTTTGCTTCATCCTTTTGCTATTTCTAGAGGTTGGTCCATACTTTTTTTCTGCAATATGCTTTCTTTTGCAATGATACCTTTATGAATTGCTGCTTCATCCTTCTGTTAATAGGACTGCTTTGGTATTCTTCATCTTTCTTGTGGGGTATAACTTGAATATTCTTCTTTCTTAATGACTTGGTCCACTTTTATTGTCGATCCAGAGATGGGTCTTTCTGTTCGAAGGTGATACTTGAAGGCCGACCATCATTGAAGTCTCTTTACTTACTAATGGAGGTGGCCGAATTTGTAGAACTGCACTGCCTATCATGTAAGCAGAAATTACTTTGTTCCTATCTGTACTTTATTTCTGCAATTATTCACAAAGCATCAATTTGTCGTTAAATTCTTCAGCCTTTACGGAACAAAGGATATTTTTGATAATTGCTTAATGCATGGTTTCTCATTTTATATTAAATATTAATTTTCTGTTGGGCTTTCTCTTCCATGATGATATTGATAGTCCACTTTTTATTGATCTGCCTTAGCTTGTAAATTCTTCTACTTAGGCATAGGTTTCGTAGGGAAATTAAAGGACAAACTGGTGGAAACCTGAAACGTAAATAGAGGTTTCAGTATTTTATTTACTACTGAAGATCCAGCACCTGGCAAAAGGAGCCATGATGTAGTTAAGCTAGTTGAAGAATAATTGAAAACTAAGCATTGCAAATAGGAGATAGGACTAAAGATCAAACTTTTAGTTATCAACATCAGTTCTTCCTATCTGTCCCACTTAATGTATGAATTCTACCCCATTATTTTGCACCTTCGGAAAGCTGCATTCATGAGGCTAAGGTGGAATGAGTTAGGCACTTGTTTGATAATCTGATATACTATTGTGGCTGCAATCTTTTCTAAAATATAGAATAGTTTTCTAAGGGCAATCCTTGACACAATGCTAAGGTTGCTCCTTTAATAAGACTTGATCAAATTCGAGTTACGGAAGTAACATGTTTGCAGATGCCCTTGTTAGGGTCATTTGTTTGATCGGTTATCAAATGAGTCGCCTAGTATAAAAAAACCAAAATGCTTGAACATATTCAATGTCTATTTGTTATAATAAGCGATGTGTTTGTGTGTGACCACAGTTAGTTCAGAGGGCACATCTGTTTTGCTGCTGCTGCTCGGATGAAACTAGACACTGGTACCAACTTTAGCACCCTGAATAGAGTGAGTTGCCTGTTTCATCCTTTGAATCCATCTGAGCTTTACCTGTAAATCTAGTTTGTTATGATCTCATGCGCGAAGCATGCATACCACAGTAAAATAACAAAAATACATGAAAACAGTTAAGAATTCTATTGATTCTATCCAAGGTTAATTGATCTGGAAGGAGCAGATGCAAAGAGTGTTAGTATTTTTCTTTGTTTAGAGTGCTAGAAAGTTATCTTGAAGAATGGAATTTTCTGATCTTTCTTTGACCCTTTCTCATATATTTTACTGAGGGGTAAACATAGCATAATGATATCTTAGCAGTTCTTGGTACCTTCGAAAGCTACAACATCAACATTTCCCCTTTGGTTTGGGAAATAGCATGCCGTGCCAGTCCTTTGCATGCAGGCTTGACTCGCTTCCTCTTTTCTGCCTCAACATTAAGAGGCATCTGCTAAATGCATCTATGTGCTGTACGTATGATGTCTGCTGTAGCCATGTTGGTCAAGGGGATGCATTACTTGGATGTGATGATCCGTGAACAGCTATTGACGTACAAAGCTTATTAACCAATCGGGTCATAATGGATGGAGATAGCAGGATGGCCAAAGAGAGAGGGAGATTAATTGTAGGATGTCCGAGGCATCGAAAGTGGTGTTTGATTTCAGTCAAAAGCCAGCTAAGCCTTAAATTCTTTTCCCCATTACTATCTGGCTTCGATTGAAGTTAAATAACGGTGGTATGACTTTGATGGGTAGTAGTACCAAATGCACACAAGCATTGCTTGGAATTGTGCGTGCACAATGGTAAGACTAGCGATCTTAGAATGAGGTCACCTGCGTCTAGAAACTAGCCTCTTGTATCTTTTTTTTTTGTAGTCTTTTTGTTCTCATTGCTTGACCTCTCTACCTTGCGTCCAGCCATAAGCCATAATTTGGTGAAAAAGGTAGACGTCTAAAAATGAACACTAAAGTCAGTCTCGATAGCTATTAGTTTTCTTCTATTAGGGAGAAAATTATTGTTGGCTACCTACTACTAGTCATCAATATTTAGTCAATATCTGGTGGAACCGTTTCTGATGGATTTGCGGTGCAAGCACATCAAAATCTAATGTTTGCTTGTCCGCGAGAGAGCCTGCCTTCTCTATCCTTGTGTTTTAGTTGGCCATTGCTAATGCAGATGAGAAGCAACACCCCTGCGACTCACATGCAAAAAAAAAATAAAGGAAAAGAAAAGAGAAGAAAGAGAAAATAAGGTAGAAAAACTTTACGAGAGCCACGTGCCGGTGGTGGGAGAAATGTGGTAGTGGGGCGCGAGGGACCCACGGGGGGAGTTGCAAAGGCTTTCCGCCGACACCTACGCTACGCTCGCGAGTGCCCTCATCCGCGGAGCACCCCCCACTCCCACCGAAACGCGTCGCCGTCCCCGCCCGATCGCGGATTAAGCGGAGCGGTGGGAACGATTCATGTAAACACAGCGCTAATGACCACAATTAAGACGAGAAGAGTAGGAAAGAATTGGGCTGGCGTCCGTTCACGTGCATGCGTCATCGGAGACCACGAGCGAGCACGTGAGATGTGGCGGTGGTGGGTGGGTGCGGGATTCCCCCCTCGCATCGGGATCCTCATCGCCCTCACGTGATTCGATGCCCTCGTCTCCGACTTTCTATACGGCAGCCACGGCGCGTTCCTCATCAGGACCCGGTAAACAACTACGACAACATCCAGCGGGCCACGCTGGATCCGACGGCTCAGGATCCACATGAAGAAACAAGAAAAGTACCCGGTCCTTGGGCCGCATGGGTAGCGCGCGTACAGCTGGCGCCCGACGCCTCCGCTCGTGAGCGTGAGGGTGAGTGCAACACTGTGTGTGGTCGCCGGGGGGAGACTCCAGCCGCATGATGGGTGGGGGTCTCGTCAGAGATTTCACAGCTGTATCCAGTTGTCTCGGCGTCGGTATGTTTCTCTTGGCCTTTTTGTCTTCTTTTCTATTATTTACCTACGTCAACATGATGATAACAGTTACAAGGGGGGACTCAGAGGTGCGCCGGTGGTCCACACGGCGTCCGACACTGCATGTCTTAGTGACCGCTCGCCTCACCGCGGTAATCGTCACCTGCGTCCTCATCAACCACGGCACATGCCGAATAGCAAACAGGTATTCTGCCCGGTGTATAGTTGGGGCACGACGCCTCAAGAGGTCCGGCACCTCGTTGGCCAATGCGCAGCGCCTGCGGCTGTCCAATGGGACGCAGTGAATCCAAGTGTGCAGGTAAATCGTAGTTTCACTACGTGCCCACAGAAAGAGAATGTAACGTAACTAGAAACTCTCTATTCCCGCACATCCACACGCAAATCGAGTCCATGGTCTAACCAGGTGGAGTTAGTTTTATCGGCAGTTAAAATGTCGATGACAAAACAGTCAACGATGGAGATCATTCACGTCAAGCTAATATGCCAAACTCACATGGGAGAGGGATAAATACGAGGGGGTTGAAAAGTAACAGAAGACTTGGAGAGAGGAGAGGGAGGTAGATGAGGGTGAGGGACGCACGTAGTGCATGAAGCCACAACCTCTTTCAATGTGCTCTCCCCCTTCCCCACCCCCTCTCAGTCCGAGCGCCTCGTTACTTCCACAACGGCATTGATATTATTATCATTATTGGTCTCATCATGGCCACCTCCATTATTTGTAGCAATGTTGCAAATTTGTGAATGCCGTCTTGACCTCAATTCCCACCTCCATTTCTTCTCCTTCCTCTAGCTCTCGCTCTCGCTCGCTCACTCTCTCTCCACCCACCCTCACTGGGAACAGAACAAGACTAGGAGCTCGGAGTACCATAGTCCTTCGGTACGACTCTCTTTGCCTTCTGATGGCTCCGGAGTGGGAGATGGCAATGATGGGAATTGGAGCTTGCTATTCTATAAGCTCAGCGGCTGTTGCACCACTTCCCAGCACCAGCGCTGCTCCCACTTCGCCTGCTTACCTCTACGGTCCAGTTCCGCCCACCGCCGACGCCGGTCTCTGCGTCGATGACCTCCTCGACTTCTCCCATCATGATCTCTTCCCTCCTGTTGCCACCGACACCCTTTTCTACGCTACCACGACGGTGGAGCCGTCGTTGACCACCGGAGGCAGTACGCTATCAGAGGAGACGTTCTCTGTTTTCCGATCTCAGCAGGCCTCCTCCGACCTTTACATTCCAGTGAGTACTCCGCGAGAGCTCGGAATAAGATTTCGACACGCTTCCTTTAGGTAAAGAAGGGGTACTTAAAGCTTTATTTACTATTGTGCAGCACTGCGAGGACGCAGCAGAGCTGGAGTGGCTGTCCAAGTTTGTGGAGGATTCCTTCTCCGACGTGCCTTACGAGACCGGCGCGGGCATAATAACGCCTCGGGTGGAGCAGTCGGCCAACGGCCCTGGAGCTCGGAGCAAGCGCTCGAGCGCCGCTGCTGGTGCGGTAGCGGCCGAAGCTTGGTCCTCAATGGTGGCGCCATTACGGCCACCAGCTCAGAACTCGCCTTCGTCTTCGTCTTCTTCGTCCTCCTCCGAGTTCTCGATGCCCAAGCCAAGGGGGAACGGTGGCGACAACATCAATAGGAGCAACAGAGGAAAGAAGGGCGTTAGCGGAGGAGGAAGAAGCGCGGGGATGGAAGGCGGGGCGGCGCGGCGATGCACGCACTGCGCGTCGGAGAAGACGCCGCAGTGGCGGACGGGGCCGCTGGGGCCCAAGACGCTGTGCAACGCATGCGGGGTGAGGTACAAGTCCGGGAGGCTCGTGGCGGAATACCGCCCGGCGGCGAGCCCCACCTTTGTTCTCACGCAGCACTCCAACTCCCACCGCAAGGTGATGGAGCTCCGCCGCCAGAAGGAGCAGCTGCTCCGTCGCCATCACCAGGAGAACCACCCCTCCTCTTCCGCTCAGCCGGAGCTGCTGTTAGGCGACTACGGGGCTTGCTAAGCTGCAACCGACGCTGCCGTCGCAGGCCGACAGTCCCTTCCACCTCTCAAGGACAACTCTCGTTTGTTTCTAATTCTTCCTTGAACTCTCCACAAATCGGACGGTTGAGATCTTAGCAATCTCCTTTCTTTTATGGATATCTTTTCCTACTTTAATCTACCATTCTGGGTGGGATAAAACAACCAATGGTGGAATTCTGCGGAAGAATATGTGAAAGTACGTTCAAAGAAGAAACAGCAAGGATAGTAAAAAAAAAAAAAACGTAAATAAAACGGGAAAGAACTATACATCTTGACATGGCGCCCCGACGACGATTTGCCAGTTCTAAATCGTATCGGACTCGATCCTGAACAGTTTCAAACAGAATCGAAACAGTCGATTCCGAAACAGAAATCGTCGGTTCTGAAACTGAAACCATTATCGATTCTGCAATCAAAACCGAAATCATCTCAATTGTTAAAAGTTTAGAACACTGTCCAGTTTTCAGGCTATCCACCTACTCCTATGTTCCCCAGTCAAAGTACAACTCCTAAATTCTCATTTATGTGCTATATCACACTCGATCTTCACTGAGCAAAACACAAATGGGATGAAAACACAGTTTTCTTGCTGTTTTCTGCACACAGCTGCAGATTTCGCTTCTCTGAAAGACACAAATGAGAAATTTGTGTAGAATTTATATCACAAAGTTAAGCTAAATAGTTGTGGGGGATGATTTTTTCCACCATTATATTGGCCACATCATATGGAGGCAACCAGTTCTATTCTTTGCTGGATATGCCAATACACTTTAATTGATGATCAATAACCACATTAGATACAAACTCACCCACCCCAAAAGAAAGCAGGCTATGAAAAATATAATTACTGGATCTTAGATTTCTTTAAGGTAAAGATTCCTATTATAGTAAACATCAGAGGACAGCCACTGATGGATAAATATTCCTCTTGTACTAATATATCAGGGAACACCCAAAGTTGTCGTGCCCTCGTAAGTGTCAATTCCTTTCATCATTGAAGAAAAAAAAGCTGTCAAAATTTCCATTTCAAGGAAACTATCTTGTACTTGAGACAGTACCCAGTTCTCTTCTACAAAACAAGGAGAAACTTCATTTGGTCCTACACAGAAATAATAACTTCTTCGATACCTTCATTCCTCTAATTCTACCTAATCCATTCTGGTGTCTTCAATTGTCATGTCCAATATCACTATATTTGATCCATCAGACTGACCAAAAGTAAACTCCACATCTAAAATAAGAGGCAACCCTTTTTAAAGGTCATGCTGCTAAAAGTGTTTATCTATCTATACATGTCATGCTGCCAATTTCATTTTGATTTTAGACTACAATATTTTTTTAGAGCCTAAATTATTGCTCTTTAGCCTTCTTGATGTTCTCTACTATGAACTAGGGGTTAATTATAAATTACCCTATTTAGTTAGTTAACTTTAACATTTCGATCTCTACACCTTAAAAAATTACATTAACATTCCTATAGTTATGAAAACGAATCATCTTAGTTCATTTACCCTAACGTCATTTATTTTACTAATAAAAATATAAAAATAAAAGGTAAAAAAAAAAATAACATTCTAGTTTATGGTGACGAACGATGGCATTGCTAGGAGATACAGGTGGGTGTTGTGGATGAGGAGAGCGACGATGAGAGATGAGGGCCGCTCTGCATCGACACTGACGCAATTATCGAGCGACGAAAGATTCGTCGATGCAGATGCCGAGTGACCCTTTTGCCGCATCTGCATTGACACCAACACATTTGCCAAGCTACGCCAGTTTGCATCTATGTTGGCGTCGACGAAAATGCAGAGCGATGAAGGACCACTTGACAACTACGTTGACATTGATACAGATACAGAACGGGCCTCACCTCTCACCGTAGCTCTCCTCATTCACAATAGTCATCCACGACCCCCAACGGTGCCGTCGTCCGTCGTCACCAACTCGAATGTTAAAATTATCATTTTACCTTTTGTTTTCGTGTTTCAGTTGGTAAAATCGACAATAGGATAAATAGACTTAGATATTTCACTTTCGTAATTATAAAGATATCAGTATAACTTTTTAAAGTATAGAGATTAAGATACTTGAGATAATTAACTAGATAGGATAATATATAATTAGCCCATAAACAGGCGTTTCACTTTCAATGATTTTAAATCATCATGAGTTAAAGTTAAATTACAGTCAGACAGTCCAATTTGTGCTAGCTTGATACCTTGTTATAACACAAGTAAAAAAAGCTCAACTTTTAGATATGATAAATACCACAATTCTGACTTTAACCAGGCAATTTTGAGGCTCTATCCTCCGAAAAGGATGCTATTACCGAGATGCATAAACATGTGATAAATATACTTATTGTTTCTCGTGTATCAGACCATTAAACCTACCCTATGATCATTCATATTACAAGGTCATCAAACAAAAAATATGTTTAGGTATTTAAAAACAAGAGAGAGTCTGCCCGAGCAATATGAAACAACACTCGATCGCTTTCGATCATCAGATTTTTATAAAAAGAATGAAGCAACATCTGAAATGCACAACGAAATATGGAAGAAGCAAAGTTGCAGACAAGCACAAGATATCTTCAAACGTAGTGATTGTGGTGCTAAGAACAACCACCATCGGCAAAAAGGGGGAAAATAGGCGACTAACGAGCGCAGGGTTCATCCAAGATGCAAAGAATTTTGCAGTTCTGATAAATATACCAACTACCAATTATCATGTTCTGAAGTGAAATGAATCGGCTAGGGTTTGCGAAAACCCAAGAAGAGCTGCATAACATCAACAGGAACCCTAAATTACGGAGAGAAATATGACGATTACCTTCTGTCGCGGTTGTAATGGAGCCAATATGAGATCTGGAGAGAAGACAATGGCCGATCCGCATTGCGCCCAACCCGCTCCTCCACCTGACATTCCACGATTTCAGATAGAAACCAACACTTCTCGATGGGATGCAAGAAGACCGATATAAACAAAATCGCTTACAGATGTACGCAACATCCATTTCTAGTTCAGTGGAAGGAAAGGAGAAGGCGAACGGAGATCGCCGGCTGCTCCTCCCTGCGGCTTCTGGCGTTGCTGACCACCCCGATTCCGTGGATTTCTCCTCGTTTGAGCCAAGTGTTTCATATGGTCCACAAAACAAGCGCGCCAGAATGTCAAAACAGTTTCCATTATATATATATATATATATATATATATATATATATATATATCCTGAAAATCCCTCCATGACGTTAAGACATTGCGACTTCTTTATTAACACTTCGATCGTTTGTTAATGATTTGGTATCGTAATTGTAGCTTGTGATTTAGCCTCTCATATTACTAATTAAATATTTATCCTTATTTTGTGAACAAAAAATAAAAATATCAGATTCAAGATATAAATAATAAATAAATAATATCATATTCTTTATTAAGTAAATATTATGATAAACTAATTATATATATTATCTTTTATAATTAATTATTCTTAATATTTCAATCCTTATACTTTCAAAAAATATTTAATCACATTTCTTTTCATCATCAACCTTATTGGTAAAAATACCAGAAGATTTACTACTAAATATATATTATTTTTTTCTCACTTCAATTTAAGCACTAAACACATATAATATTTTCATCAACAAAATCGATAAAAAAAAATTAAATATTTTAATTTCATAAACATAAAAATCTTAATATATTTTTTAAAATTATAATAATCAAGATGCTAAAGATAATTTATTATAAAAATAATCTATAATTAACCCTATTATAACTTGACATAGCTTTTAAGTAATGCACATGTAAGAACACCTAAGATTGCTCGGCACTTGGAATCTACTCTGAGCAAGTAAACCAAACGTGTGCAGGAGGGAGAGTAGTTCACCATATATTAAAATTTAGATGTCACATAGTCACACATCTTGATTTGCTTCTTCTGACAAAGTCTAGTAAACCTATGAGATCATCATTCAACCAGAATTAAGATTATTGCGGACGGCTATAAGTCTTGAGCTGCCTATACATGAACTGCAACTGCACGCAGGGAAAAAAAGAATGTTAACCAGAAGACATGCATTCAAAAGAACAGATGTAACAGCGCTTTATAATCGTTCCTTACCAGCCGAAAGAGCGGTGCCCCTCATGTCTCATGCAAACCAATGTACAACACTACTTGTGCTAATCAGTAGTTAACCATAGCTTCTCTTCTCGACTCTTCCATAATTCCTTCTTCCACTTCTTTTAGCCGTCGACGACCCTGCAGAATTCGCTGCAAAGAACACTAAGTTCAATTTGTCTGTTTTGTGAGAGCAGAGGCACCAAATTTGAAACATAGCAGTAACCAAGATTCATACCCGTTTGAAAAATCTTCCACCCTTCTTCCTTAGGTCTGTCCCTGCAAGGGTCACAGCAAGGACAGATTTGGTATCCGGCCGCCACTTCAACTCTTTGAGAACCGAGAAAAGGCTTGATAGAGCAGGAGATACTTCATCGTCCTTTATATTATTGCATGAGACGACTACAAGTCCCTGCAAATCTGGCCAGGACAGAACTACTGATTCAAAACCTTCAGTTGTTAAAAGTGAGCACCCTTCTAATGAGAGAAACTTCACCCTCCTGCACAGAGATCAAAAAGGAGAAAAAAGAGACTTCAAAACATTAAAAATACTTTTACAAAACCATAAGAGTGTCAGAACTTGAACCCCAATCAAACCAATCAGTGAAATTAAAGTTGCTGAATATCGAGTCAAAGAGATACCCAAGGCAAGAATTCATCATAAAAGCATCACCAAGAATAATAAACACAAAGATGTTTTGCTTATACAAATACCTTATAATTTGCAAGACCTGTTTGAAGAAAGACAGTATCCAAAATAAAGTTATGTTAAACAAATTAAAACTCTCCTTTTCATCCTAACATTCCAAAGCATTAAAGCATTCCAAAGAATGACTTGAATGCAAAAAATACTATCCTGCCATATTATTACCAACAAAATAACAATACATATTTTTTTTTTTGTCACACTCATCGCTAAGTTTAGGGAGGATCAACTACAAACATTGAGACTATCTTGGTAGGAAGATCGATTAGTTATATACCACAACAATACTCTAAAATAGGTCAGCATTTATTTGACATGTTTCTTTTTACTGGAGTAGCTTTCACATCAGTTAGCAACTCCATACCAACTAGTAAGACTATGTACTCCGAATATATAGGACACAAAATAATTTCCCATGAGAAGGCAGGTAATCCTATGGGGGAAATTTACATGCTTGCCATCAGAATCAATATCCTCAGAACCAATTACAGACCTAAAATGAATCTTAAATCTAAAAGAGAAGATAAAAAGACAAGCAAGTGCAGCTGCTATAACCCGGAAACTGAAACAAGCCTAAATAACCACCTCAGTGTCTGCTAATGCTATGCGATATTTAGTAGGTAGGACAGTGAGACGGTACCAACAAGCATCTGTGACAGGGAAAGAAGATTATGATGAGGGAACTTAATGATGGTGCTCCAGGCAGTAACAAGGCAATGACTGCAGAATGTTGTGCTCCAAGGTATCAGAGGACAGAATCAGAGAACAATGATGGATGGTGGAAAAGGAATGGTCATCCAATTGTGGTCAGGACAAGCAGATGAAGAGCCTCTGTGCAGCAGTGAGGTTGTGGTTAGAAGAGGGTGGTATTGAGCACTAATAGCAGGCCAGAGAGGTAGGATGGTGCAACTCAACCAAAGGTACATAAAGCTACCGGCATGCAGCAGCAACTTGGTTCTCTTACATGGGCTAAGTTGCAGATTTTTTATTCAGTTGCAAACGACCCATCATCTGTTTTCAGTTTCTTCTTGGCCAGCATGGTTTAACGGCACCCAACGAAAGAGGCTGTATGAAGGTCCAATTGCAATTTGCCGCCTCCAATTTACAGTCTTTTCCTAGATGATACATGTGAAATATAACCTACTTTCAAATGTCAGTATATTCCAAGTACATGATGAACGACCCACCCATGAACTCTTTTAATAATGTACAAAAAGTTCCCACTCCTACCCTAGTACCTTAGCACACTCACGAAGCATATTGGTAGTCCTGCATAACACAACTCAGTCTCAACATTGCTGAACCAATTCTATGATGTCTATTGGTAAAAAAACCTGAACAGACTTAAGTGAGAGGTAAAAATCTTAAAATAAATATATCAGAATATCATAAGAAAAATGAATGGAAGCGTGACTAACTAATTATGCTATGCCAAAACCTTCAAGGAAATACAAAGATGTGACTAACTAATTATATGAATCAGATGCTTGACGCCTGATCATAGAAGCAGAGGTTAGTTATTCAATGTGCTCGATCGAATCATTCAACAAGAAATAGAAGAAACTTGATAAAGAGAGACTTATTCTGAGTCTACACAAATGGAAACAGCAATCTGCATGAAAAGCTTCTCCAGAAAGTAGTTTTCTGGGAATAAAAAAAAAAGCATGACCCAGGAAAGCTTGAAGACACAAGACTCCAATATATCAATAAACTATTTCACATATTTTACATAGAAAGATCATGCAAAATATGCCAACACTCTTTCTAATAAATTTGTACATAATCCCCCTAGGCTTTCAGTGAAAAGCACAAAATACAAGTACAAAACTCCCAAACATGCCTTGGCCAAGGTTGTCGCGTGTAACTGGAAATAAGGTATCATCATCATCCAAAGAACCAATCCTCTTGAGATATTGCAACTCTAATGCTCCTAAATTAAATGGCATTAACTAGTTACTAGAACTTCAATGTTAGCTAAGAATTTTAACAAGCTATGTCTGTGAACTTTTAGTTGTGAAGGATCAAAGACCAAGCAGCCTTGAAAATTCATCAGCAGATTGGTGTAGAAAGAATAAATGGCAGCAATTACAACCATACGATTAAATAAATTGAAGATTAATGCAAAGGTCGTTAGAGAAACATTGTTACCTGCAAATGCTCAAAAGAGAGAACTTGTCATTGTCCATTCCCCAGCAATTCTCAAACACAACATACCTAACGGCCTCGCACACCATATATAATGCTTGTAAGCTTCTCTTATCCCGCAGCTGGCACCGCCGCATCTGCAGCGTCTCAATGGTCGGACACGTCCCCAAATGGTCCAATGGCCCCGGATCAACGTCTATTCTCCTGCAGCTTTGCAATCTCAGTGTCTTAAGGTTCCTGCAGAAGGACAACGCAGCTATCCACCCAGCGTCCATCCGGTGGTCGGAGATCGTCAATTCCTCGAGCATCATGCAACACCGCCCTATGGCAGATACTCCATCATAGCCACCCTCGCACCCACTGAGCTCCAGCTTCACCAGCCGCTTGCAACCATGGGCCAGTATTGTGAGCCCAAAGTCCGTGACGCCAGGCCCACGGTAGAGCCCCTCGACGTATCCCACCAGCCGCAGGATCTGGAGGTTCTCGAAGCCAGAGATGGGGCGAAGGGCGAGATCGGAACAACGGTGGAGCTCCAGCTCCTGCAGAGTGTCACATCCTCCGGCGATCGCCATGAGGCCGGCCTCCGAAGCGGTGGATACGAGGGAGAGCTTTCGAAGGCCAGGACAGTCGCGTGCGATGATCTCGAGGCCGCGATCGATGACATACGGCTCGAGGAAGTGGCATTCACCAACGGGAGAGTCGGCGTGGGTGTCGACGGCGACCGAGACGGGGCCACGGGTAAGCAGGACGCTGCCACCGGCAGCGGGAGAGGAAGGGGAAGCGAAGGAAGCGGGGACGAGGTCGAGATCAGTGAGGCAGGGGTAGCGGAGGCGCAGGCGGCGGCGGTCGAGGAAGGACCAGTCGGGTATGGTCAGGGAATGGCAGAGGCGCCCGACGAGGCGGAGCCATCGCTTGCAGACGAGGGAGGCGGGTAGGCGATGGGCGTCGGGGACGGCAGCGAGGATGCGGAGGATGAGCTCGTCGGAAAGCAGGGTGGTGAGGTCTGCGCTGGCTCCACCGGGTCGAGGCTGCGGCGGGGGATCTTCTGGGGTTAGGGTTTGGTCACCGGGCGGCATCTTGAGGGCTACATGTTTGAGGGGTTTGACGGCGAACCAGAGGTTGGGCCATCTCCTCAGACGGTGGTGGTGCATCTAGGATTCCGGCAATGGAATCGAGCGACGGCAGTGGGAATGGAACTAGGAGAGGGCGTAGTGCTTCGCCGATGCATCCCCCCGCGAGACGCTTCCGTTCTAATCTCTCTCTTTTTTTCTACCTCTTCATCTCCGTGCAAGCGAGCGCGTGCGACTGTTTAGTTTTGGGTTTCGCCGCTCTTGGATTCAAAGTTATTTGTTCCCTCCCTCTTGATTCTGAAGTGAAAGATAAAAGCACACGTGCGTGTTGTAATCCCCCGACTTACTTCACAACTTGGATGTCTACGTGCTAACGACCGGTTCTCATGAACTGAGTCGTGACTTTTGTCGGCACGTAGGCGCAGTTTCTTTTTGAAAGCTTTCTTATTAACAAACATAAAAACACGCCAAATGTTTAACGCTTCCAATGACGTGATTTGGGAGTTTGAATTGGGATATGATCCCAAAACTGCGGCATCATATGGGTTCCGCTTGACTTAAGCGTTGATATGATCTGCGCATGACATCAAAGTGAGAAATAATAGGGTTTGCCTCCCTATTATTTCAGATGATAATAATAGGGAGGCAAACCTCTTCCTCCCACCAAAGACTCGATTACATGTCAGATGATAATAAACTGACAATATATTTTCTATCAATAATGCTTCCAGAACGCCAAGTCTCGCATGACCCAAAAACAAAGCAAGAGTGTAACAGGATCAAACAAAGTCATTAATTAGCAAGAAAACGGCATTAGCCAGCAAGAAGACTAATATTCAACATTTCACAGCTACTGCGAGAAATCTGACAAAAACTCACGCAGCAAAACGACACTTCCAGCGTGAGTATTAATGATGCTTCGTATAGCAATCATACATAATACATCCCCATTACAAAAAGGATTTGAATAAGAGATTCCTGTACATAATATAGTTGGTACCTGTTGACCTTTTTAATGGACTCCTGTCCATAATACAAGAGATTCCTGTACATAAGTTCTAGCTCACAATGGTACTCAGGGATTCTTTTTCGTGGAGCTCCTGCTACGGCCGAATGCCTTTGCAAAGGGTGGAGTGTTGTGCAAAATATGACAACCAAATTAGAGATTTGTTTTTCCCCTCTATAAGAATTGGATAATTTATACCACGGTCGCAAAGACAAATCAACCACGAGGTGCTGCAATCTGCTGCTTCCGGACCCTTTCTCCAGGCTTCACCATGCTGAACGGGAAAACTAGATATTAGTCCATGAACAGATACTACCACCTCTGGGTTGAACAAGTTCAAAATTCACTAGGCTGGCCCGTCGCCCGATGACTATGAATGGAATAGCCCATCACCGGAAAATTCACTGGGCTAGCTCATCTCCAAAAAAAAAAAAAAGGAAACGACCCATATGCGTATGTGCCAGTCTGTGAGACTATGACACCACAAAATTTGCAGGATTGGCCCAATATAGTTTTATGTTTTCAAATCATAAACGTGGCTCGTACCTGATGTCATGCGGGGTGATGAATATCCACTGAGAGCCTTGAGTCACTGCAAAGTCCACAAGAGTTTCCAAGCTCATCTTCCGGCTCACAGCATCCTGGAAAACACAAGAGTAAATGGACGCTAATGATCACAGACAACATTGAAATAAATGGGAAGAACTAAGCTGATCACTCACCATGAACACATCAAACTCATCCATGGCACGAAAAGGTGCTTCTGTCATTTCATGAAGAGCTAATGCAAAGCAGAGAGTAGAAAAGGACCGTTCCCCACCTACGAATACCATGTGTATCAGAAAATGATAGGTTTCATAACCATGAGGCAAGCAAACAAGGGAAATTGAGAGTTACATTGCCCGACAAACCAGGAAAAAGAATAAAAATAATAGAAATATATATAACCATTGCACCAGATCAATATATCTTTTGTTTGCAAAGACACGCAAATGCAATCAGAGAAAGCACCAAAATGCCCAAAAGGATACCAAAGGGGAGAACACAGAAACTTCAACTAATAAGAAATTCTGGAACTATTTTGTCAGAAACAGTGCATGTTGCACTTGCACAATAGTAAGGAAGCAGCACAAGACCTGAAAGCCCCCTAATATCACGAACTGTTGTGCCAGATGCATCTTGAGGCATCTTTACCTACAAACAGTATCAGTTGTATTTCATTATACTTGAAGATAAGGGAACTTTACAAAAATGATTTTAACTCAACATAAGACATCACAAAGCAAGAATATGGCTAATACATATGAAACCTGTATATGGCAAACACAAGTAACAAAGTTACCTCCACTGACAGGACCTTTTGTTCATAATCCACCTTAATGTGCCCACTAATGCCCTTCTTCCTCAAATGTCCATTAAACCTGGACAGCCAAGTAACATTTGTCACTGACATCATTACAGAACACAGTCTCATAAAGAAACCACTTTATTGAACATAGGCAAATTAGCATATATACAATTGTACAGGTCCATAATTATGTATTTACTATTAAAATATAAACATTTTACATCAATTTTTTTTAAAAAAATCTATGCATAGGTACCATGAAAAATTTTGTAGTAGTTATTTAATACACAACCCTGAAATAAAGTTCAGGAATATTTATATATAGATTTCTAAGCATAATTTCTTCAACTTAAACCAACAAATAGGACAATAAGCAAATTGCACATACTGCCAGGTCAATTGCCGCTTTAAGAGCATTGCATTCCTTTGAAATTTGCACCACCGCAGATCAAGTGCCTTTTGGCATGCCTACGACAAAATATCACTGCAGTTAGTGGAACGCAAAACACAAAAGGCAAAGAGTATAGCACTATTAGTGTTGTTTGATATGCATTATCTAAATGCTTCTCAAAGAACACTTAATAAATTAGCCAAAAAAACCTAATAGCTCTCCCCACCAAAATGGGGCATTGGAGGGAGGGGCAAGTCTTAATAAGCCATTAAAGCAAGACGACGTTCCTACTTATCTAGATGCTTGCCAGAAAGACATCGGCCACACAATATTTAATTTATGTAAAGGCATCATATATCTTACTAAAATAGCCAGAAACACCAAATGCCTTTCTCCCCACCAAAAAGGGGCATTGGAGGGAATAGAGCAAGATGACATTCCTACTTAAATAGATGCTTGCTAGAAAGACATCAGCCATGCAATATTTAATGCATGTAAAGGCATCATTAACCAAGTAAACCAAAACTGAAAATATCCAATGCCTTTAGATAACTTAAGGTATTAATGCATGTAAAGGCATCATTAACCGCGTAAACCAAAACTGAAAATATCCAATGCCTTTAGATAACTAAAGGTATCTAAAGGCATATCAGCCAGAACTGTTTATGTATCATATGTATGTATATTAACCTAGCAAACTAGCAAGGCAACAAATAATAGGTTCCATAACTTTCTTCGACTAACAAGGATATAATCCAAAGAAAAATTTAGTCACTGAGTGAAAATTTAACTCATAACATGGCCATTATGGAACACTTCATTGATAGTCAAGCTAAAGCAAGGTGATGGATAGGCATTGCTTGGTTGATAAGATACTAGCAAATCAAACATAAACTGAAAAGCCAGTGCATAGCAATATAGCCAATCAGCAGTTATCTCAAGAACAAAGTTCCTAACGAATACATGAGTAGCAAAACACGACACGGGACACTGACACAACACGACACGGACACAGTGATATGTTGTTTTTAAAAAAATTAGGACATAGATACGGTGAGGACACATGATTTTTAATATATATGTAGATATAATATTCGATTAACATGAGTTTTATAGTATTTATACTTAAATTTTATAAATAATTGAGTGAACAAATGAATATCATTGTACAGGTTGAAAAAATAAAAATCATCAAATAATATTTAACAATCTTCAGATAGAATTGATATATGTTTCTTTGCAACGATCTCTAGATTTCATTTCTAAAGAAGCATATGGCCCTCATGTGAGGGCCACATAAGCAAAACACCACATGCGAGTTTCTAACGTGTGTCTGACACATGTCAAACATGGGCATGTCCACCAAAAGCATGTGTCTGTGCTTCTTAGATCTGCATGCTTGAATATCAATCCATGTGATGATTTTTGCCAGGATCACCTCCATATCGTACAATCTAAGCAACACTTAAGGAAAAATGAAATATTTGCAAAGGCATACAATAAAACATGAAGACCTTTAGACCATTTAGGATGAGAAAAGTAGAGAAAACAGAAACATAAGAATAAAAAGAATTTGATATTTATGGATAGAAAATTTAGGAGAATTAGGAGCCACTAAAAGTGACAACAAAACTAGAGAGAAAAAGTTATTTCTTTCTGCTTAAACAATCCAGGGGCACAGACAATGATCTCTCATTTTCTTTTCAAATTTCTATCGTGACCCTACCTTTTTTTTCCCGCAACACTTTTCCTTGATGAGTACCAAACAGATTGCTATATTCGAATGCATTTCTCCAGAAAAAGGACAAAAGTTTATGATTAACAATAACATGCACAACAAAAGAGCTACATAAGAAAACAGAAGATCCCAGCACAAATTCCTGCTACATAAAATGGAGTGTACATTTAGCTTCTCACGGAGTGCGGCATAGGTTTGTCGTTTTGTCAAAATTTTACGCTCCTTTTTATCATACAATGCTCTAAGATCATCAATGGATTCAGTGTATCTGCAAGAGAAACTAACTGAACTATTACCCCTCTTTAAGGTATCAAAAATATTTATATTGAAAGAAAGTACATCATATGAGACCTTTGGCTCTCATGCTGAAGCCTTTGTTTCAATCTGCTTAGCTGGGCACTTAGTTGCTCAGGAGTAGACCCAGCAAAGCCTCCCAAAGCTTCCATTTCACACTCAGGACAAATGATGGATGCCTTCCTAAAATTTTCCTGGTGATTCACAAATAATGTATTTCATGAACATTTCACATGAAAAATTTGTTTGACAAAGAACAAACAAGAGAAAGACCAATTTAAGTGGTAGCAGTTATTTGTCATCCATTAGTCTTCTAAAATACAATCTGCGATTAGTGTCCATCAAGACATCTTTAAATGTCAAATTTTTAAAGGAGGCAAAAGACAATATTTGATGTACAAAAGTAAACATCAAATTATTCAAAATTATAGATTAAATACTGTTATGAGACTCTAACCCAAGTAAGAAGGATCATAAGAGCATACTACCAAGGGTAACAATATTTTATTCATTCTATAAAAAATTGATCCAACCTTATTTTTTTCACTTTTTTTTTTGTCATAGAGTTATCTAATCAAACTTAATAAAGTTCAAGTAAAATAGAATCCATCATTAAACATTTAAGCGGCTATCAACTTGATGAAGCTAATAACCTGCCGTTTCTCTTGGAGTTTTTCACATTCTGCCTCTGCTTCCTTGATATCATGTAGTACTTTATTATGCATGACCCCTTCATAATGAACTTTCTCCTGAGAAGAAACATCAGCTAACTAAGAATTTACAGTTTTGTGTTTGACGTGAGTCAAGCAAAAGGGAAACATACTGCTTCTGCTGACTGTAACTTTTCTTCAGTAGACAATAATTCTCGCTCTGCTTTTTCAATGGCATCAATATCTTCTCTTGCCGAATCTGAATTGCATTCAACATATTTTGAAATAGAACTTTAATATGATTGTTTATTGCAACCCATGCTCATAAAAAAGAGGAATAGAGGTAAATAAATCACCAACATGCAATACATTCATAACAGGTATGTGTTCATTTATGAAACAAGATGTAAGGTACAAGAAAATCAAGAATGATTATTAGATCTTCACAAAGATATTAAACCAGAAAAAATTCTTTGAACTATTTTTAAGACAAATCTCCATAAATGAGCTATTTCTATCCCAAGTAATGATCTGATTTGCCATGGCTGGTCGAGAAGAGATTCCATATATGAGCTATTATAACTTACTGTAAGAATATGTTCAAGTTATGAAAGTATGATTAATGTGATGGTATAGAAATAATTCTAACCATGTTAAAGGAAATGAATGATATGAAAGTCTCTCCCAAGAAAGGCAGAAAAATACAAAGGCCTATTGCAAATTAAGTTGTTTGATGGACAAGAACATAGTCGTACAACAAGAATACCAGCCAAACCCTTCTGATCCTACCACATATAAGTACACAAGATATTGAACCCAATAGAGGCATACCGGCATTTCAACAAATATTTCATAGGTTTCAATGATATACAATTTACCATGCCAATTTAAGAGAGGACTGGTGCAGGGTTACTATCTGAGATCCAATTCCTTGATTAGATCATAAGAAAAAACACTGAAACATTCACGCTAACACATGCCAAGACACATTAGCAAAATAGGTGCATGATCACAAATATGTGCATTGGCAAGACATTGTGCATATAATATGCAGCACATAGACAACTTGTACGAGCAAGTTATTTATCATGTCAGGATGTTGCTAGAATGAAATGCAACTCTTCTGGTGTGGTACAGCATGAACAGAAATAATCCATGCTCATTGAGAGACCTACAGCAACTATCAGAAAGAATATAAACAGATGGTACATGGTAAGACATGTGGTGTTATGTAATGTGATCACTAAACTTTTTTCACAGACTAATAAACATACATGTAACTATAACGCAAAGAATTTTGATTTCCAAGCATAAGAAACACTTAGTACTGAAAATTACCAGTGAAGTCTTTGCTTCATATATCATTATAAATCAAGGACAACTTTGTTACATAAAGCTATTGTTTTGTTTTTTTTAACATCTTCAAATGTTGGTTCTGTTTCCTTCATATCAAATTTAGGCTAAGAAAAACCAATGTGTTGATTTGGGCCTTAATTTGCATGTTAGTACCCCTTTATTTGGAGCAAATAATCAAAGGACATCAAAGATGAACAGTTTTTCCCTCATACCGGACAAGTCCTTGAACGAAATTTTGAGATCATTGGCTTTTTCTTCTGCAGCAGTCATCTTAACCCTGATTTTCTCTTGTATCAATTCCTTCCCCTGTATCTCAACTTTTGTTTGCTAAAAAAAGAAAAAAAAAACAACAGGCAAGATACAATGAATTCCAAGCAGAAAATTCAGTTACAAAACAAACCATTAGTTGAAAGTGAAACTCGCAACATACTGAAATTTCTTTAAGAAGTTCCTCAACATTTGTTTCAGAGGCAGCAGCATTTTGCTCAGCAGCATAAGCATCCTTCATGCCTTGCAATGCAATTTGCTTAGATGTCAAAATTCTTTCTTCACTTACTCGTCGCTTCTGTGGGAACAAATGAAATGCATTAGAGACAGCACTACCTATCAGATCAGAAAAGAATTAATACCTTAGCACTATGTAATTGGCCTTCCATATCACGAAGCTCTTCCTCAGAAACCCTTTTCCTGCCTTTGCATTCTTGAACATGTCCTTTGACCTTAGAGGCTTCATTTTGAATAGAGTATATTTGGTCATCGACTGCACTGCATAGACGACCAGTCCTACCTCTTCTAGACGGAGGGAGGGTAGTCTGCACAGAACCTCTGGAAAACCTGTCTCACCAGAAAAATGATCGTCAGTCACAGCAATCTACACTAATGTTTGGAAAATACAATGACAGACAATGTGTGATGATTCATTTTTCTAACTCACATTAATAGCATTAAAAACTGCAGGAAAAGGAAAATTGGAAAGAAACAAAAATGTGCCACAACAATGAAAGCTTACATTTTATATCCATCAGAAGTGTATACTTCCTTCAGATTTGGGATTCGCTGGTCAAATGCAACAGATTTGCCAACTTCATAGTCTTGAACAAGAACTTGCCTTTCAGCACTACCCTGCACCAGGGAAGAAAATTGACCATAGGACATCTTCTCAGTACATACAAAAGGGGAACCATAAATGACTATTCCTGAACAAGAGTCGGGCAAACATGTGCAAGCGTACAAGAAGATGAAAAGCACTGACAAAGAGCATAATGATCAGATCCTCGATCAATTATGAGTTGAGCAATCCAGTAAGCAAGTACTCACACATAACTTTAGGAATTACATTTTTTAATCATTAGAACCTGTTGTATAGTAGTATTTACTATGCATTTGTAGTCAAATACCTATGATATGAACACAACTAAATCTATGAATAGTATGGACTATGGAGAAACGATTGGTTTCAATCAGGAACAGACAAAAGTGAAAACATCAGCTTCTTTCAGATCATAAACACAAAATTCAAAACAAACAGTGTAATTATGGTTGCATCCTCCACAAAATGAACGATTTTGATGTATGGAATGAATCTAGAAACCTTCCTCTCTGTTAATAGTATACTAATATTACCTTTGGGGCCATATCACAGAAATTGTGTTCAAATCCATCATTCACTTTTCATCTCATAAATAACTGAGCTTAGAACATGCAATGCATACCCACAAGCACTAAAGTATTGTTTGTTTCTACCCAAGTAACATCTAATATAAATTAGAATGGCATTAGCATAAAAAACTTGAATATAATAAATCACTTGACAACCGAAATGTAGACTTTTGTTTCTTTAAAAAGACTTCTTCTCAAATATATATATCTGAGATTAACCTCACCATAAAAATAATTCTTTAGGCAGCCTTTTATGGTTAACACAGAAATCACTGCCCAGGATTATATCTCACAAAAATCACTGCCCAGGATAGCAGTTTGAATGAAGTAGAACCACAACAATCCATAGCTGTTCTTTTACACAAACCACTATCAACAACAGCAGTTCCTTCAAAATAAAAACTACCTTTCTAAACAAGTTGGGGCCAACCATCCTATCATGCTTGCTTCTCACTAAAAGAATACTCTCATAAAAGTTTTTGAGATGAAACTAGCTTTTGAAATATGGTTCTAGGTTACCTAGGAAAACATAATAAAATATCTAATACAAAAATAATAACACATAAATTAGTTAGATGAAAAAAATATAATAAAGCAGTTAAGGCACTCTTCACATGGTAGAACCATGGCATCTAAGTTTACAGAAGAATAACAACAATTTATCAAAGTTCCAAAAATATACTAACCATATCTACCAACACGTTGAATACAGTAGGATTCTCGGTGTGTAAAACAGATAAAGTAGTCGGATGATTTGTCACAGGAAGTGAGTTGTTTGGAATTTTTAGCCTGCATATAATAAGTAAACATGAAAAGACTCCTTTTTACTCTTACATGCTGCAGGAGGGTCATATATATATATATATATATAT